TGACTTGGAATATTTCTTGCCATTCCCTTCGGGCTTGTAGTGTTTCTGTTGAGAAGTCAGCTGCTAGCCATATCGGGGCTCCCTTGTATGTTACTACCTGTTTCTCCCTTGCTGCCTTTAGGATTCTCTCTTTGTCTTTGATATTTGCCATTTTAATTAGGATGTGTCTTGGCATGGGCCTCTTTGAGCTCCTCTTGAATCGGACCCTCTGTGCTTCCTGGTCTCGTGTGATGTTTTCTCTCCTCAAATTAGGAAAGTTTTCCATCATTACTTTTTCAAACATATTTTCTATCCCTTGCTCCTTTTCTTCTCCTTCTCGTATTCCTATTTTACAGATATCATTACATTTCAGGTTGTCCTGCCTTTCCCTTAACATCTCTTCATTCTTTTTGAGTCTTTCTTGATTTTCTTGCTCTTTCTGAAAGCTTTTTTCTTCCTTGTCCTCCAGCTCACTGATTTGATCCTCTGCCTCATCTAGTCTGATTTTGATTTCTTCTACTGTGTTTCAATTCAGAAATTGTATCCCTCATTTCCTCTTGCTTCTTTTTGATAGTTTCTATGTCCTTTTTCATGCTGATATAGTTTGCAGTAAGTTCCTTATAGTTTCCCTGCAGTTTTTGGTAATCCCCTCTGAGCTCACTAAGCTAATTGAGTTCCTTAGAACCATTGTTTTGAACTCAATATCTTTTAGTTTATTTACTTCTATTTCATTTAGTTCTCTTTCTGGCGGTCCCTCCTTTTCATTTGATTTGGACTTGTTTCTTTGTCTTTCCATTATTTGTGAGACTCTTCGTTTTTGCCTCTGCTTCTTTAATTGATCTATTTTGACTTCCTGATTTTGTGGTTTAAACTTCTATGATAGGAGACCTGTGAGATTCAGTAGTGCAGTCTCCTTGATCTCCTGAACTTGATGCTCTTTGGATGCCTTTTATGCCGTTTATGTTGACTCTCTGGAAGAAACTGGTTTTTGATTGTTATTGTTTGGTTGTTGTTTGCTGGGTCCTTCCCTCCAGCTTGTTGACTAAGGGTCACTCTGCCCACCACGTCTTGTGTATTCTTGCTGCCAGAACAAAACCACAAAGCCCAGGAAACAAACTCACATCTGCAAAAATAACTTCCTTCACAATCCCACAATCAACAGCAAATGCACCAGTATTAATAAGGCTGTAAAGAGATTAAGACTATTATGAGAAAGGAGAGAAATAAACTATTAGTATAAAATCTAATAACATAATATGCACTGACTTGATGGACCTGAAATGAAATTTAAAAAGCTATATAATAAAGAAAATATCACAAATCATGGAAAAGACCACAGTGTATTCATCTTGGTTGCATCTAGTATTTACTTCTGTTTTTCCTTTCTGGATCCACCTCTGGTGATGTCAGATGTTGACCCCGTCTGACCTTAGGCAGACTGTTCAAGACTTCCAGGAATCTGCTGTCTGTGGCTCTCTCCCTCAGTTGTTAATCTAGTCACTCTGCACTCAGCGGTCAGGCTTTGGCACCACAGGGTGGGACAGAGTCCCTCCCAGGGTCAGGGCTATTGTTTCCCCTCAGGCTGCTGCCACTCAGAGGGGAGTGGTCTGCCTGAGCAAGATGGCTGCTGCCATATGGGGGATTACTCAGCACTGAGATCCCTCCAGTTACTCCATTTGTTCTCTCCCCAAAGCCTCTGTTCCCAGTCTCTCCTCAGGTGTCTCTAAGCTCACTCTGTCCCCCACCCCTTTGCTGGAGCCCAGGGTAAGTGGCTACAGATAAAAATTTATGCTTTGGCCGTTTAAATGGCTCTTTGAATCTCCATCTGCCTGTCTCTGGCAGAGAGCAACTCTGCCGCTTTTCTCAGCTGGCTGTTATCTGTGTACTTTTTGGGCTCTGATGCTGTAGGTGGGGAATCCCCACTTAGGATTTAGGCCTCACTCTTCTCAGGGGGATCCAACTGGCCGCTTAAGTAGTATCCCTCTGGCGCTGCTGCCTGTGGGTGCCCAGCCAGCCTTCTCAAGTCTCCACCACACTCTTTACTAGTCAGGTTTTGCTGAAGCTGATTCTTCTGTCTGTCCGAGGTTATAAGGCTTCTTTTTTGCTATTGTTTAGTTGTTTGTTCCAGATGATTTCTCCATGATTTAGTTGTAATTCCAGATTGGTCCTGGGAGGAGGTCAGTGTAACTTCCATTCACTCCTCCGCCATCTTGAAATCTATTTATTATTTACATTTTAAAAATTGAATTTATTGGGGTGATGTTGGTTAATAGATTATATAGGTATGAAGTGTACATTTCTATGATACATGATCCGTAGGTTGCATTCTGTGCCCACCACCCAATGTCAAGTCATCGTCTGTCACCATATATTTGTCCCCCTTTACCTTTTACTACCCCTCTCTTCCCCTTCACTCTGAACACCAACATACTATTGTCTGTGTCTATGAGTTTGTTTTATATTCCACATATAAGTAAAATCATATGGTTCTTAAATTTTTCTATCTCTTATTTTGCGTAGCATGATATTCTCAAGGTCCGTCCATGTTGTCACAAAAAGCAGTATTTCATCTTTTCCTACGGCTGAGTAATGTTCCATTGTACTGCATATTTTTTATCCAATCTATTGAAGGACACTTCAGTTGTTTCCATGTCTTGGCCACTGTGAATAATGCTACAGTCTACACAGGGGTGTATACATCTCTGTGAATACATGTTTTCAATCTCTTCGGGTAGATATCCAGAAGAGGGATTCATGGGTCATATGATAACTCTATTCTTAATTTTTTGAGTAATCCCCATACTGTTTTCCATAGTGGCTATATCAGTTTATATGCCCACCAGCAGTGAATGAGAGTTCCTTTTTCTCAACAGTCTCTTGTTATTACTTGTCTTGTTGATAACAGCTTTTCTAACAGGTGTGAGGTGGTATGTCATAGTTTTGATTTGTATTTCCCTAACAGCTGGGGAAGTTGGGCATCTTTTCACATATTTTTGGCCATTGTATGCCTTGGGAAAAATGTGTGCTCAGGTTCTCTGCTCATTTTTTGATTGGGTTATTTGCTTGCTTTATGTTGAGTTTTATGAGTTATTTATATATTTTGCATGTTAACCCCTTATCAGATGTACTGGTGAATATGTTCTCCCATGTGGTAGGTTGCCTTTTTGTTTAGTTGTCTGTTTGCTCTGCAGAAGCTTTTTAGTTTCACATACTCCAATCTGGGGTTTATTTTGCCTTTACTTCTCTTGCCTTAGGGGTCAAATTCATAAAATCTTCTCGGAAACCAAGATCTATGGTTTAGAATCTATGTTTCCTTATACATAATTTATTGTTTCAGGGCTTATATTTAGGTCTTCAATCCATTTTGAATATTTGTACATGGGAACAAACTGTAGTCTAGTTTTATTCTTTTGCTTATGCCCTTCCAATTTTTTCAGGACCATTTATTGAAGAGGCTTCTTTTCTCCATTGCATGTTTCTGGCTCCTTCGGCAAAAAGAATTTGCCCATATATATGTTTTATGGTCTCTTAGTGGTCATTCTGTTCCATTCATCTGTGTGTTTTTCTATCAGTACCATGCTCTTTTGACTATCTTCTCTGTAGTAAAATTTGAAGTCAGATAGTGTGATGCCTCTGACTTTGTTCTTTTTTCTCAGATTGCTTTAGTTATTCGGGGTCTTTTGTGGTTTCATACAAACCTGATGATTTTTTCTGTTCTATTTCTTTAAAAAAATATCATTGGGGTTTTGATGACAATTGCATTAAATCTGTATAGTCCTTTAGGTAATATGATTACTTTGATTTTTAAAAATTAAAACTATTTATTGAAGTTTTACATTTAAAACCTATTCACAAGCTGTTATGCTCAACTTAATTCCTTACCCTAATTAATCATTTAAAGGGGTTCTTTGTAACCTCTTTAATGAAACATTTTAAACTTTACTCAGTTTTTGTTTTAAATTCTTTAACTGTTTTGCTATTTGTTTGATTTTCTCAATAATTTATATCACTAATTCTGCATCTTTCTAGAATTTAAATATATTCACCTATTAAAGAAATTAGTTTGTCATCTGAAACAAGTTTGGAGTTTGTCTTCTTTGCTGATTGAGAGAGCATGAGAACCAGTGACATAAGGCCTAGAGCTGTAAATTCAGGGACATTCTTCTAGTCCCTGAGTGCCTGGCTAAGGCCCTTTTTGTGATAACTATGTAATGAACTCCAAAATTAAAAAAACAAAAACCAGAAAATGTGGTGAAGGTAATTATGTAGTCTGCCTCTGATTTTGAGTCATACCACAGTATACTTTTCAAGCTAGACAAATTTAACTTCTGCTTCATGAGTTTTGAGTAATTTTCATACTCTTCCTATTTACTATTAGATATTTAATTGACTCTAATTGTGATTTATGTATTCATAGTTGTGTCTGCCTCCCTATCGTGGATTCTGAGATTGTTCTTATCACAGTGATACAGGCTGTTCATTGGAAATTGATCTATTTATTGCAGTGCAGTTTACAGTGGACTTTTTAAAATGTTAATAATATGTCTTATTGAACTCAATGCACTCAAAATAATTTTACTTATATGTATAATGACTAAAAATGAGTAATGAGGTATCCTACATTCTTTTTTAAAAATTTGGATCACTATTCTTTATATTATTTTTAAATTGGAGCATGATTGTCATATAACATTAGTTTGAGGTGTACAACATAAAGATTCACTAACTGTATATATTGTGAAATGATTACCACAATAAGTCTAGTTAATATCCATCACCACACAGTTATAGGTTTTTCTTTTCTCATGCTGAGAACTTTAAAATATCCACTCTTAGCCACTTTAAAATACATAATACAATATTGCTAACTATAGTAACCATGTTCCACATTACATCCCCAGAACTTGCTTATTTTATAATTGGAGGTTTGTAAGAGAACAGTCTTGTTTTAAATGTCCTGCTAGCTAGTGTGTACAATCTCATTTTCTGGACTATCGACTTACTGTTGCTTTTCCCTCTACAGAAGGGCAGACGCTCTCCAGATGTCTTCGGGGAATGACCATGTTTTTCTCCCAATGTCACAAAGACACATCAGTGGCCTCCCTGGGACGATACCCAATGACCTGAAGGCCGTCACTGAAGGAGCTGTGTTAAGTTTTCATAACATCTGCTATCGAGTAAAAGTGAAGAGTGGCTTTCTACTTGGTCGGAAAACAGTTGAGAAAGAAATACTGACGGATGTCAAGTATGTGTATGAACTTTTGTTTAAATAGCTTTATTGATTTACAGTGAACTTTAATAGGTTTTGCCTGTTTTACAAGTGAAGGTGCTATGAACATTTGTGTACATGTCTGTATAGATACATAGACACAGACTTTCATTTCTTTAGGCTTAACTGGGAGTGAAACAGTGGGATCACATGTTAAGTATAAGCTTAATTTTTAAAAGAATGGCTAAACTGTTTTTGAAGTGGTTGTATCATGTGCATCAACTTTTGTTTGAGAATCCAAATAACTAACATGTCATTTAGCTTTTCCCATGTAAGCCCTGTGGTCTAGTGGAAAGAGGCCTGGCTGTGTGACTTACAACTTCCTGATTGTGGGGACGCAGCTGTAATCTCTGAGCTTCAGTTTTCTAGTTTGTGAAATAAAAGATCTGTCCTGGGCGTCATGAGCCAGACACTTTAGGTAGTTCTACACTTTATGTTCTTGAAGTGAGATTCTGGAGGTTGAAATGACAATGTACTGTGAGAGTACTTTGGTTTTCAAATAAACTTGTTTTAAAGGAGTAGCCAGTTTATGTAGTCATTTATCATCTACAACAATTTATTTAATGCTATCACCCATTATGCAGGCAGACAGAAACTAATAATATAAAGAAAACTCTAGCTTAGGCTTAAATTTATGCCATGAAAATCCAACATGATAAAATTTAGGCTCCAAATCAATGCAAAACTGTGATTATCATTTTCTTCCTCGAGCAACAAATTCATCACGTGGTGGTGGAGTGGGCAGTAGAATGAGGAGGGAAATGAGAACAGAACCTATTTGGGAACCACATCTCTCTATTCTTTCACAGATGACAGCCATGAGGATTGTTCATGCTTTCCTGATATCTAGAAAATTGAGCCTGATTCTTCCTCACTGTGGAGGGGGAAGTGCATCTAGGTTTGCTCAGACACCATGGCCTATGTATTTTTTAAATTAATTTGTTTGTTTGTGAGGAGAAATAACTATTCCTAGATAAAATAAGCACTTTTTCTAGCTCTCTGAGAATGGAGGGGTGGTTATAAAAGCTTTCCCCAGGTATTGCCTCTAACCTATGTAGAATCGGATGTTTCTCATGTTTGCTTGATGCGTCCTGTGAGGCTGTGGTCTTTTTTGTTAGTAGCTGCCAACTGCTCCCATAAGGCTCGGAAATGACAAGTAGTGGAGAAAAATTTTGCATGTGGGTGGGGGACAAAAGACTGGATGTGTGATTGTTTGGGTGGTGGCGAGGTCAGGGGCTGTGTAGAATTAGACAGAATTTGCTTTCTATAACAACACCTTCTGTCATACCTGCTTCCTTCTTGCTCTCTTGTATTGGTTAAGAAACCCTGACAGGGAAAATAAGGACAGAGGTGGTAGACATAAAAATTTTATGCCTTGCTAAGTGCCTGGATTGAATTTACTGATGTTTTGAAAGCTGACAAGATTTTTTGTGGAATGTAACAGTCAGGAAAATGTTGGTTACATCAGATCTTGTGCTAAGTGGAAGTAATAATTCAAATATGAGCAGGTGGATGGATTTGAAATGCATACTGGGAGAGTGTACTTTGATCTTGCTTATGTTTTAAACCTAGTGATTTGTAACTCAATAAACTAAAATTGTCATATGCTCAGGGCTTCTTAATGTTTTTAGGGTTCAGTGGTATATGCATTGCAGCAATAGGTGAGTTATCCTTATGTGCATTCCTGTATCCATAAAAACTCAGTCAAATGTATTAATATAATGTTTTATTTTTTAATTACTGTTGACTTACAGTGTTCTATTAGGTTCAGGTTTACAACATAGTAGTTAGACATATATATTACTTAGGAAGTGATTGCCCCGATAAGTCTCAAGATACCAGTGCTGTCTTGTTTACTCATATTTCTGGTTTAGGCACCCATGAAAAACGCCGCCCTTTTATTTGATGTAGCATTTCTAATTTTTCCCCTATTTGCTGGCTTCAACTAAGCAGAGGTACTGAGATGGGAGGAAGCTGGTTCTCATGTATCTTACTTTTGACTTGCTTTTGATAGCACTGCCACCATTCACCGTAGTTGTTGTATTCTAAAAAAGCTGATGAGCAGTTTGACTTTGTTTTTCTTTTGGACATTTTTTAATTTTATTTTTAGAACTAAGTAGCTAGAATCTGATGTTCTCTGTTTGGGGAGAAGAAGATAAAATCTGACAATGAGAATCGAAAAAGGTGAGATTTTACTATCTTAAGAAAAATTATTCTGTTATGCTTAGTTTATGCCCAAACCTATCATATTAGCGTTTCCTCACCAACGCTGAAGATATATGAACAAAATGATCCATTGCAGTTGTGTTTATCATATACTCTTCCGGGAAATTCACTATACTATTGGGAGATTTTTAAAATTAATTGCTTATTTTGAAATAATTTCAAATTTACCCTTTTTGGGAACATGGCCCTTTTATCCAGATTCCCCACCTACTTACATTTCTCTGTGTTTCCTAGCCATTTTTTTTTAGGTAATTCATTTTCATTAGTATTTTTTGGGGAGCAAGCAATGAATATGATACTCTATTGTTCCTAATTCATCCAGTGTATATTTTTCAGAAATAAGGGGCCTCTCCTACATAACCACTCAGTCATTGTCTAGGAGCAGCCCACAGGATGCAAAGCCGCACAATATAGGTACAGTGGTGGGTCCTGTAGGGCCATTGGTCACCGTGCTCTTCACATATTCATGAATAAATATTATGAGAGAAGTTACCCTGACATTATTTCAAAATGCTATTCTTCCTAAAACCTGAGCCCACCAACATTAGCCTCCATTGATGTCTCCTGCCTAAATCAGTAATAACTATCACTGTGATAGTTAGCCAACGGTGATTTTCTGTTTTCATCTTACTGTTCTGTATAGATTAGTTTGCATTCTACTAGAAGGGAAAAAATCTTTATCCTCTCTTCATTCATTTATTTATTTTATTATAGACTCATGGATTCATATTATATTCAGAACCACTCAATAGTAATGCATTATCATCATTATTTATCTTGATACTCCTATTGTTTCTGATTTGGTCAGTGGGAGACATTTCAAGGTAGGCTCTGAGTTTTATTTTTTTAACTCATTCTTTGCATATTCTTTCATTCTTTGATTATTTTGTGGCATAGCAAGATGTTCCAGACTCAGGGTGTGCTCACCCCGCCTCAGACCTGGAATGAGCTGACGTTCCTTTTTGTGCAGTGTTGTGTTTACAAAGCAAGATCTGGGTGTTTGGAATGTTCATTGCTGTTGGGATGTCATAGCTCCTAGGCTTCTCAGTGGACAGACCTAGGGAACATATGTATATATACACGTATACACACATCTAAACCTTTTTATATCTGTCTGTGTATATAGATTAAAACCCGTGACCTTTAATCTCATACCTCAGAGTTATTTCCACATTTCCATGTTTGCAGAACATGTCAAGAAGTGAAAAACCTGACTCTCATTATTCTAACATTATTACTGATTTGCCCAATTTTCTTGTTCCTTAGTAAGAGCAACCTGCCCACCCCCCAGCTGTGCCCTCTCTTCCTCCCACTTCCCTTTGAGCCTGTGACCTTGGGCACTGGCCATTGCTGCTCCTCCACCCAGCACATCCATCACCTTTGCACAAAGGAGGAAGGGAAAGTCTAATAGAAATAACTCATGTATTATCTGAACATGATTTATATAAGAGTGTGACTAAGTTGTCTTTCCACTCAGGCTATGCCCATTTTCCATAAATTTTTTGGTACTTCTTGACACTTGTCTTTATTGAAAACATTTGATTTTCCAAATGTATGGTCATTTATTAAAATGTAGAGACTCATTTATTCACCAAATGTGAATGTCTACTGGGGGCCTGACATTGGGCAAGATTCTAGTGACGGGTATGTCCTCGATTCTCAGCAATCTTCTAGTCTAAAGGAGGATTCAGACAACTTGGAACCTTCCCTGTGTTGTTCTACTGAGATAGAGGGGTTAGAAGACATGGAAGACCCTCACCCTAAACTGGAGGACCAGGGACATGGGGGAGAGAAAGTAAAGCCGGGGTGTGTGTAGGACAGGGTAGGGAAAGACAATGCTCCAAGCTATGGGAATGACATTGACTTCTCACCTCTTAAATGAGATTTACCATTATTCAATAAAACGTAGTAGGCAAGAGAAGAAACCTGTAGCTAAGTTTCATTTCATGTGCTTAGTTTTCACTGTAGCCCACCGTGCTGCATGCTGTGGGGGACAGGGGATGAAAGAAGACGACACAGCTCTGGTTGGCAAGGTTTGACAATAGAGTGAGGGAGACGCGTGTGTGTGTAAATGCTATTAATCAATAAGAAAGGGTGACGGGTTTTGAAGGAGGGTGGGTGGGCTGGGCCAACTTTTTCTGGAAAGGGTCTGATCGTGAATATTTTCCTTGTTATTACCCACACAACTGTGTTGTAACTACTTACCTCTATCACTGAAAGCAGCCATACATAAATGGGTGTGTGTGGCTTGGTTCTAAACACTTTGTTTTCAAGAACAGAAAACTTGACCACCTGTGGTTTGCTGATCCCTGGACTTGAATGTAAAATCCACGAGGGCTACACCTTTAATTCTCAGCTCTGACCCATGTAGACACATAGTAGACACTGAATAATTGTGTTGAGTGATTGCAGGGAGAATTAGCCACTGCTGCACACGGGAACTCTTGCGGTTATGACTATCCGTTGTTGTTTTCTGTCATGCTATAGTCTAGTGCGAAAGGAAGCCCAGCTCAGGGACCTGTAAAACTCTTTGTCTTAGAACGCTCACATGCAGTTTCGGGTTCAGCATTTAGGGATGGTGAGTCTTGTTCTGAGTAGATATTTTAAAAACCTGGAAAGGTTTCTGGCAATGAAGTCTTAGTGCGCAACAAGCTTATCTCTGGTCATTATAGAAACAGTCACTAGGTAGCTATTACTGCAGAAAGGTACATTAAGAACTATAGATAAACGTACCTTGAAGGTTCACCCAAACATTGGCGTGTCTTATTGCATCTGGGGAAAAGGCCACTGAAAGAATAAGATGTTTTTCTCTTTTACATCTCGTGCCTGATTCTCCTGACTCACTGTATTTGTCCAGTGTTTCAGTCAGAGGCGCCTCAGTTAGTGAGCAAAGTAGAGGGTGCATTTCACCCTAGCGACCACACGGCATTTTACACTTGTGACAGTTCCAGCACAATAGGCAGTGAACGCTGAGTCCTCCTGGATGGAAGCACCGTGTACAGCTGCACTGTGAAGTTTATCACTCGCGACTGCTGTATAATCATCGCGCATACTTGCCTCCGTGAAAGTCATTATCTGGGAATGAAATGGCCTTCTGCTTTGCACCTTCCGTCGGAATAGATACCATGCTCTCTGGGGAATACATTTTGATTTACCTGCCTACTGCACAGCGAGCGGGCTTAGACCCCAGGGTCTTGGAAGGGCCTCATCAGCCCTGCGTTCCATCATCATGCCTGTGTCTGCGGCGGACCTGCTGTTCATTCTCCTTACCCCAGTGCGCTCTCCTTGCCCTTCTCCTGGTTATCTTCAGGGTAAAACTCACACTGTGTTTTTTGCATCCTTCCTCAGTCTCAGCACAGTCAACTCTGACTTGTTTTTTATACCTTCTTGCTCTCTGTCTGAATATTCAAACATCTATATAATTTGTTTGGAATGTGCAATGTCTACGTCATGTCTGTACATCCTGAAATGTCATCCCTAATAGAACGTGGCGTCTCCCACTTCTAAACTGAGAACTTTCCAGTCTACTTGTCTGAACCTTTACAAGAAAGAAAGTGATGTATTTGGAGGGCATATGTTTTACTTATACAGCTGGATTAAGAATTTTGTCAGGGTTTGAGAACCAGGAGGTTTTCTTCTTAGGAGCTGAGGTGCTTTTTTCTAGCCACTGAATTTCACTTCAGACATAATGTTTCTTCGTCTGACTGGGTTTGAGTGGTGAAAGTATTAATACTGATGATTCTAGAATTGCATTGAGTATGTAATTATGTAGGACCTGAGTAGGTAGCAAATGAAGTGACTTGAAATGATTTTCAACAAGCACTACTCACGACCTGTGATACACCTTTCATTGTGAAAAGAGAAATCAATGTAACAGATCTTTTACCTCAAGGAACCTTGAATGTTTGTGTGTCCTTTTCCAAAAAGTGTTAAGTGGCTTAGAAAAATAGCAGAAAGGAATTTAGAAAGACCGGAGCCATTTTTCATATGGGGGCTGAAGACTGATGACATCCTCTGTATACTAGACATTTATTCATTGCCAAGTTGGTTTCTCTTTCCTTTAGAGGTTGGTTTGTGCTGGTTTTCTGTCTAATTCCATCGACTTTCATTGAGTGTCCCAAATGCAGACCCTAAATTTTTAGAACCAGTTTTCAACTGACCCAGTAAATCGGCTGTTTCTGCATTGACAGTGGGATCATGAGACCCGGCCTCAACGCCATTCTGGGACCCACAGGTGGAGGCAAATCCTCGTGAGTATAACAGAGAGGAGCCATAAGCTTTCCCTTTGCAGTTTTCACGTGCTTTTAAAGATCACTTTTGTGAGGGCAGGTGTTAGCTGAATGTCTGCCGCACGTCTGGTCTGGCTCTAGGCGGTATAGATCACTTGCAGTTCTGCCAGCTGTGGCTCTGTCCTCAGGAGGAGGAAGTCTTGTTAGGCCAGCTTTACTAACAGGACGTGATAGGTGATTGGCATGCAGTTGTCAGCAATGACTTCAGCGAATGGGGTGGGAAAGGAAGGGGATGACATGAAGGTGGGGAGAGGGAGCGGTAGGAATAAGGGAAGGCTTGAGTCTCAGCTAAAGGAGCACATTGCCCGGGGGACCCCCAAGGCCAGAGAGCTTAGAGGGCTCTTTGAGAGGTCTGTGCTGGACCTGCCAACAGCGCTTTGTTGGCATGTTTTTGGGCTTTGTTGTAGCACAGAGTTAAAAAAAGGAAGTTGAGAATTAAAATATGTAATTATAGTTGAACCATAGAATTCTTGATCAGTTAATTTTTAACTTGAGCAGATACTGGATTCAGAGTAGCTTAGAGATATAGCATCAGTTGAAGAAAAAAAAACACAGCATTTTTTTTTTTTTTTAAGGTTGTTAGATATCTTAGCTGCAAGGAAAGATCCCCAGGGATTATCTGGAGATGTTTTGATAAACGGAGCGCCTCGACCTGCTAATTTCAAATGTAACTCAGGTTATGTGGTACAGGTAAGTGTTCGTGGAATTGCATTTTAGATTTCCCGGTTTTCACGTGCAAGTTCCTTGGCTGATAGTTCAGTGTGCTTCCCATTGATTCCACAACTTGGACATAGAAAGAACTTCCCTTACACCAGCTTTTTATAATGTCCCAAAAGATGTAGGGTAATGTTAAGTGAAAAGGTAGGGAGAATCTAGGACATGATCCTTTTAAGGACAATGATAACTGTTTTAGTTATAGAATATGGCCTTTCTAAGGGCAGTGATACAGATTCTACTTATCATATTCCCAGAAGATGCTACTGTTTTGTTTTTTCCCCTACATTCACCTCTCTAGCTTAGTAAGAGGTTTTGTCAAATCCTTGTATAAAGCATTCTGAAAATGTCTGCTAATAATAATCTTACTTACCTGTATTCTATTCAGATGTATAAATAGGGAATGAGAATTATTCCACCAGGCTTTGTAGCTATCCAAATATGGAGTTATTTGTATAATTTGTATAATTACAAGTTCATCATTAGCTAGAACATTCCCTTGAGTATGTTATTTTTGTGGATTAAGTTATATGTTCTAAAGAGTGATAGTAGTAGAAAAGACCTGACATGTCTTGTTAAAATCGATTTTGCCTTAAGGATGATGTTGTGATGGGAACTCTGACAGTGAGAGAAAATTTACAGTTCTCAGCAGCTCTTCGCCTTCCATCAACTATGACGAATCGTGAAAAGAATGAACGGATAAACGTGGTCATTCAAGAGTTAGGTCTGGCCAAAGTGGCAGATTCCAAGGTAATGTGGAAAGAACTGGTGGTACCATCGCCTGCCGAGGGCCCCGCCCCCCGCCCCCCCCCCCCCGCCCCCCCCCCGCGAGGGCAGTGTTACTCTTATTCAGACGTTTTCCGTAATGTGTGTGGTCAAAGGTGGCTGCCTTCTGTAATGATGAAAACAGTGAGTACCTGCGTAATAGAAAGGTGAACATTAACAAGGAAAAGAAGAGCAAAAAACGACCGGATCCTGGAAGTGAAGTGCGACAGTGCGGGCTACCACGCAGAAGTGTCTTTGCCAAGACCAGGCGCCCCTTCCCTATGACGGCAGCTCGTGCTCCTCCCCGACACTGATGGTCTTATTCATATCTGTCCGCTAACTTTCTTGCTTTCTGTTTTCTTTTTTCCCTTTTAGCTTTTCTTCCTCTCTTCCTCCAGGGGCCTTTGTGTGTTTTTTGGAGGTATATTTCTGGAATTCATAAATGATGAAAATCCCGGGGTTCTTGCTCTGTATGTTTCATTTTGCTGTAATTTGGCTTGGAAAATATTTTCAGCAAAATTAGTGTGTATTTTAATTTGGGTGGCATCCAAGTTGTTTGCCTTTAGCCTTTCTTATCGCCAGCATTTTCTCTCCAGCCCCTCCGTCCCTGTCTTCCTCTCTCCCTTCCTTCTGCCTGTGTTACTTACAGGCTGTCCTGTGCTGGGCTCCCTTAGGGTTTATAGATGATGGTGGTGGGTGAGAGACAGAAGCAACTGCCCATGTGGGTCATGCAGGATAAAGAAGAAGAAATGCGATGAGTGAGTGAATGACTTAGAGCTGATGTACAGACATGAAAGATTTGCTGGGCAGGCATTTGAAGCTTTGGGTGAAGGTGAGCTTTTCAGATTGTCCTGGCTCTAGTTTAACCCCCTTGCAATATCCCTCACCTAGAGGTAATGAAAATGGGGGTATTCTGCTGGCTGCTGCTTTCTGACAGTCTTTTAGGGAAAGCATACTTTACTGTATTTTGTTTGAAAAAAGAAGTCTGAGCTGCTACCATTTACCACTTATTTTCAGTTTATGAATGATTGGGTTCCCTTTGTTGATACTTTGTTTATGTTATTTTGTCTTTCCAGCAATTTACTTTTTATTTCTTAACTTTTGGCAGTTATTGCCCATGTTCCTCACATAGATTTCCAGGGAAAATAAACTGAAGTCAGTTGTTGACTTCCTTAGAATTTATGTGTCTAATTGACTGAGACAATACATTAAAATTTTTTACCTGTTATGAAATTTAAACACAACAGAAATGAGAGTAGTCTGATTACTACAATAATGGCATGATTGTAGCTAATTAATATATTGGTGAGATTACTAGTAACTACATTTTCCAGTTGTTGACATCTTCTTCAGGAAAGGGTTTAGCTTTTTATTTCTGAAGTATTTTAAAGAAAGTTATAAATATCATCTTTTACCCTGAATTCTTACTCTGTATCTTTTAAGAAAGGATATTTGCCTACATTATTGCAATACCATTATCAACTAACAATAGTAACATGTTAATATCAACTATGTAGAGCCCATATTCATTCATATTTCTCCAATTATCTTTAAATGTGTTTCACAGCTTAATTTTTAATAGGATCTAATTAAGGGCATGAGTAGCATTTGATTATTATTTCTTTGAACAATTTTTAATATAAAAATTGTTTCCTACCTCCTGCATCCCCCAAAACTGTCTTGCTACCCCATCACACATTGTCCCACTGATTGGTTGACTGAGACAGTTGCTCTGTAGAATATTCTGCCTTCTGAATTTGCCTGAACGAATGAGTCAGGAATTCTGCAGTGAGTTGGAGTATAGACAGGTTAATTTGGGAAGTCTTCTGGTGATCTAAGACTTGCTAATGCAGATGGTTGAAAGTGAGCTTTCTTAGCTGCCAAGGCCCAGTTCTCAAGTTTACTGGAGGACTTTTTTTGGTGGGAGAAAGAGAGAGAAGGGTGTAGAAGACTAACACATTATAGATGCTTTCACCTATTCTTCTCCTGTCTTTATCTCCTTTTTAGGACTGTGATTTTACTATGTCAGAGCCATGTCTTTATGTTCTAACTTCTAACTTAAAACTAACTATTTGACCTGATAAAGAGCATATAGAACTGTTTAAAGCATGGGTTTCACATCAGGCTTAGCCACATACCAGCTCTAAACTGAGCCTCAGTTTAACTTAAGAGACACCCACCTCTTCTCCCAGATACTCATTCATTTGTTGCTCAGAATAAATGAGGACATGAGATAAAATGCCTCTTACAGGGTTGGCTCATGTCAGAGCTCAACAAATGGTAGTGGCTGTTTGTTATTGTTAATAATGATACCATTTGTGTGTTAGGTTGGAACTCAGTTTACCCGTGGTGTGTCAGGAGGAGAAAGAAAAAGGACTAGTATCGGAATGGAGCTTATTACCGATCCATCCATCTTGTTCCTGGATGAGCCCACGACCGGCTTAGACGCAAGCACAGCAAATGCTGTCCTCTCACTCCTGAAGAGGTAAACGCTAGGGGGACGTTACTCTTGCATTCATGCGTATCTGGTGGCCTGCTGTGTGCCAGATTTTCTCTTGGTTCAGGGAATTCAGCAGAAAGCACAACACACACACATTTCTTTCTTCTCATTTTGGAGGGGAACAGTCAATTAACAAGTACAAGTGTTTTAAGAGAAATTAAGCAGGATGAGAGCATAGGGAAGGCTGATGTGGTGGGGGTGGAGGTGCCATATTCCATAGTAGGGTGGTCAGGGAAGGCCTCAGTGATGTGCTGTTGGAGGTATGAGCGGGACCTAGGTACCTGGGGGAAGAGATTTCCAGTTGGACGGAATAGCTAGTGTCCCTGAAGCAGACCATGCCTGATGTGTTTGGAACCTAAGAGGCCAGAGGGCCTAGAACCCAGAGGCCTAAGGTGAGTGGGGAGTTGGTTAGTGAATTTGTTTGCTGTGGCTGCCATAACAGAGTACCACAGAGTGGGCAACAGAAATTACATTTTTCACCATCCTGGAGACCAGAAAGTCCAAGATTAAGGTGTTGTCAGCGTTGTTTTTCCTAAGCCTTTCTCCTTGGCTTTTAGCTGTCTTCTCCTTCTGCCTTCACTTCATGTTCCCTTGGTATGCTGTCTTGATTACGTCATCTTGTAAAAACATTAGTTCTTACTGGATTAAGGCTCACCCATATGAACTTCTTTAGCCTTAATTACTTCTTTAAAAATTCTATCTGCAAATACATTCACATTCTGAGGTAATGAGGCTTATGAATTCAACATATGAATTTTGGGGGGACGGGTGGCACAATTCAGTCCTTGGCAGAATAGAACTTGCACCCTGACTGGTGTGGCTCATGGGTTGGGTGTCTTCCTGCAAACTGAGAGGTTGTAGTTTTGATTCCTGGTCAGTACACATGCCTAGGTTGCAGGCCAGGTCTTCATCTGGGGCTTGTGAGAAGTAACCAGTCAATGTTTCTCTCCCTCTCTTCCTCCCTCCCTTACCCTTTCTCTAAAAATAAATAAATAAAATATTAAAAACAAAGAATAAGACATGAAGTGCAATTGAGTGGGCAGCAGATTTTATGGGCTCTTGTTGGCCAGTGTAAGCACTCTGGCTTCTACTGTCCTTAGGTGACATGGGAAACTTTTAGAGAGTTTTAGAAGAGAGTTGTTGCAGTTGTGTGGAGAAAAGGCTGTACACTGGGCAAGGGTTAATGTAAAGAAACCAGTCAGGAGGCTAGAGAAACCAGTAGTAGCTCAGTTAAGATATGATTATGGCTCTGACTAGGATGGTAGCGGTGAGTGGTAAGACGAGGGTGGATTCTGGATTTATTTTGAAGATAGAACCAATAGGATTAGCTTATGTAGTGGGCATGGGATATAATTATTGAGAATGATTTCAAAGATTTAGGGCCCCAACAATGGAAAAAGGGAGTGAAAGGAATGGCATTTCCTTTTATCAAGAAAGAAGACTGTGGAAGGATCATATTAATAGGAGAAATTTCCATAGTTAATTTTTTATATTAATTGTTTTATGTTTCCATCTTAGAGAAAAGATACAAAAATTGTGCAAAGAAATTTTATGTGTTCTTATATAGATTCCCCAACTCTTAGCATTCAACTGCTTTTGCTCTCTCCCTGTACTTTTCCTCCTCCACACCTACACCTTTTTTTAACATCATTATGTCACCACTAAATACTCTCGAGTATAACTCCAAAAAACAAGGACACTCCTACTACATTACCGCCTGTACCCTTTTCAGCCAGGAAGTCACATTTATACCATTGCTGCCATCCAATCCATAAACTCCAGGTAGATTTCAGCATCTGCTCCAGAAGTGTCTCTTTCTCCTTTCTGTCTTAGATTCCTTTGTAGACATCCACTTTTCTAAACCTAATTGGCTTCTCAGTCTTCCTTGCATCTCATGTCCTCACCCATCATCGAGAGTACATTTCATGGGACACAAGCATCATTCTTCATACTGGAGAGCTCTAACCCAATCTTTCCCAAGCTCTACCATGCATTGTAATCACCTGGTTTCTCACTAAAATGCAGATTCTTCTTCTGCAGCTCTGAGGTGGAGGCCAAGATTCTCCATTTCTAACGGGGGATACTGGTGCTGATGCCCCTGGTGCTCAGCCCAGACTTGGAGCAGCACGGCTCTCACAACAGTCCACTTCCTGGCTTCCAGTCCTCTGCCGGCTCCTGTTGCCTACTGACTGGCGTTCCAGCTTCTGAATAAAGGGATTCGTCATGGGCTTATTTAAAAAAATTTTTTTTGGAGAGAATACATTTATGAAAGCTGGGGACAGTGAAATAAGGAAGGGCTTAAGATAAAGAAACAAAACAGGAGAGAGCCTAGGCAGAGCCCGTTTGGCTCTCTAGAAATGTTATAGGAAAGAAATGAGCCAAGGTGGGGCTTCTGTTGGCTTACTGGAAAGCCAGAGAAAAAGGGCCTTGGGGACAGGTTCAGGGGATTTGCTACCCTCTCTCCCCTTGGTTGCATGTCTCATGGGAGCCCTCAGAGTTTAAAAAAAATTACCTGCCAGAGAAAAAGGCACAGGTGCACCCCAAGACAGATACTTCCACAGGCTTATTTTTTGAGGCAACCTTGTTGGGAAACACCCTGTCTGCTTTCAGACACTGGAACCCTGCCGACAGGCGGGAGGGCCCCAAGGCTGGAAATAGGGCAGCCTTGGAGAAACAGACTCCTGAAGAGACATACCTGTCACCCCTGGCAGAGGCGTAGCTCCTGCCTCTCTGCTTTGCCATGTGATGATGAGCAATCCATGATGGGTAAGTTATCTCCTGCAGAGATAGCAACCTAAGACAGATATCAATCGGGTATTGGCAGCAGACAAGAAATTGGGGGACATGGAGAAAGGGCAAAAAGGCCCGCACCCCTCAGCTTGGCTTTAACATGGCCGGAGTCCTCATTCTATCTGAAAGAAGTCTCCTTGTCTATTGGCGGCTCCCCCCACCTGCCCGCTTCACTCAGGCTCAAAACAATACCAGAGTCAGTCCTAAACCAGATCTGGCGGTTCCCAGGGAAATCAGGCCTAAAAGTAAATTCTTTAAAATGTTCTTTGTTCTTCCCTCAAAAGCAATAGCCAGCTCATGCTGGGAAGGAAATTCATGTTATTCACAGACCCTAACCCTATACCCTCAGGTACTCTTATGTTTACTATGCTCTCATGTTTAGTCATCTCTCTTGTTTGCTAGTCTTCTCTCAGACCCATGTAAATCGGTGTGTTCCTGCCATTGGTTTTCTTCAAAACATCACCCACTCTCTGTGAACATTAACATACTGATGTAATGAGATAACCTGTGCATTCCTGTTACCTGGCCCCACTGATAACCTTTTCAATTTAAAAGCCTTTGAACAAAGGGACTCTGGGCCTTCCCCACTGGAGGGATGTGCCATGTCCCCTGTCCTGGCAAACAGAGAAGTGTTTGCACTTCTTGTGTTTATTCCCCGCAACTGTGACACCCTCGGGAGGGGCTCTGTGGGATTCAGAGTCCCTGCTCCCATCTCAGCTGGCCCCGGAAGCTAACCCTCAGATCCCGGAGCACTGCGCTCCCCGTGACACCCTCCAGCCGCCCCCCGTCGCAGTTGTTGCCCGGAGGGAGAAGAGCGGCGCTCCCCAAGGCAACGCATCCCCCCACAAGCACCCCAGCGCCGCCGTGCTACACAACCTCATTTGTTAGCTTCTCTTCTCTTCACCCCTCAACGCAACTCTGCAATGACACTGAACTACTTGCAGTTTCTTTAATAGACCTTGTCACCATGTGCTTTGTTCTTCATGTTCCTTCACCTTGACTGCCCTTTCTCTTTTTTCATGGCTTAGCCTGTTGGCCCCCATGCTGCACTATCTCACCTCATCTTCAGACTGGGTTATAACCTCCCATTTTGCTTATAAGGGATCCTCAGCTGCTTCAATTCCACATTGTATTGAAATGATTGATTTACTGGCCTGATCTTTGAGGCAGAGCAAACTTGTACACACTGCTAGCATATATTAAATGCTTAAAAAATGCTTCAGTTGAAGGGGTTCTATTAATAAAATGCTTTAAATTATAACAGTTTTTAAATAGTGCTTTTGGACTTTGTTTCTTTGACCTATAAATAACAAATCCTGAGTAAAGGTGGTTTAGCAATGTTTTGGCCGTGGCCCCTGCTATCCCTGGCCTGCCCCTTCTGTGACAGCTTGGGCCAGCTGCTTACCCTTCTAAGCCTTGTCTGTAAGATGAAGGTTTAGTACTGTGGTTACTGTCAGTATTGCCATACTGTCTCATAACAATATTTTGAAAATTTAGATGCAATTATCTGTAAAGTATTTAACAAAGACATAGTAAGTATTTAGTAATGTTAATTTTACCCTTAGGACAGAAGAATGAACGTCAGTTGCTACAGAACAAGGAGACTTCAGTGATCAATGAGAATGGGGCATACAACCATTGTTTCAGTATTTAGTCTATACTAAGCTCTCGTACTTGAGTGTACTTTCAAGTTACCTGGGTGCCTGTTAAAAATATGGATTCCCCAGCCCCAGTCGGGTGGCTCAGTTGGAGCATTGTCACACTCCAGAAGGTTGTGGGTTTGATTCCAGGTCAGGGCACATACCTAAATTGCAGGTTCAATCCTTGGTCAGAGCAGGAATGAGAGACAACCAGTCAATGTTTCTCTCTCACATTGCTGTTTCTCACTCTTTCTCTGTCTCTCTCCCTGTCCAAAAACAATAAACATGTGCTCTGGTGGGCATTACAAAAAAGATAGGAAAAATATGGATTTCCTAGACCCAATAGGTGTGAGAAGATGGTCCAAGAATCTGCCGAGTTTAATTAGTGTTTTAGTGGGTTCAGGACCATTCATGGGACACATTTTAAGAAACCTTTGTCTTACATTGCAAGACAATGCTTAACTCTCAGAGAGATAATGTAAGATATGCTGTTAGAGAAAATCAAGTTGAACCATGAACAAGTGAGCTAAAGGCAGGAATAAGTTGTTTTTGCTAAGAACTGCAAGTATTAGATGTTTCATTACTCATTATTTTTCACCTTTACCTTAGGATGTCTAAACAAGGACGGACCATCATCTTTTCCATTCATCAGCCTCGTTATTCCATCTTCAAGTTGTTTGATAGTCTCACCTTGTTGGCCTCAGGGAGACTAATGTTCCATGGGCCTGCTCAGGAAGCTTTGGAGTACTTTGCATCAGCTGGTAAGGTTGCCTTTTTGTACAGTGAGATCTTTCATTAACAGGATCCTGAAAGACAGCAGAGGAGGTGGGCGGGAGTGCTGATTGAGCTTCGCACAGACATGTTACGGGTTCTATCCCTCCAGAACACTCTTGGTCATTTCGGTGCTAGAAGTTGTCTTCATTTTGCACCACTGGCTTGTTATTTAGGACTCTTTCTTGTCCTGTTTGAGTATGCACACATACTCTGTGTGTGTGAGGACTATTTCTATTGGGCCTATATCAGTTCTTCTTCTCAATTCTGGTGCTCTTTTCCTAATAGTTCAATAAATATTTTGACCTCATAGCCAGATATCTGTCAGTTGAACGTTTTTGGAAAGGCCTAATACCATCTCTTCCCCGCCAAACATTTGTCTTTTTGACCACATAACAGATCAAGCTATGTCATTTTTCTCCCCTGCATGGAATGTTGGCCTGCCTTGATGAGGGTTCATGGAGATGTTGCTTGATGTTATAGTAATATTGGATTGCATATTTAGGTCTTGAGGGATGTAAATGACTTAACAGGCAATATAATGGCTATCCCTGAGTCTGACTTTGGTGCATCAACATTTCTTGGCAACCTGGTTTATTTGAGGTGGAATGGTATAATTTCTTTCATGGTTCCTGTAGTCTGCTTCATTTTAGAGATATTAGATATTATTAAATGATGTTCCATGACTCTTAACTGTGATTTTAAATATTCCCTAGCTATCTTGTAAAATTTTTTTTGTAATATCTCTGCCACTTAAAAATAATCAAGGATATTTGGGTATGGGGAGTACAGGGGAGATGAATCTAAAAGTCAGACTACTGGTCACATTTAATTCAGATAATCAGGAACACGAAGTGAAGGTAAAGCATTCAGTTGTGCCATGCAGATCATGTGCTCTTGAGAATTCTGCCTGGTGATTTGTATTCTGTTGGATTTATAGCAGCATAAAAGATGGTAATTTCAACCTGAATTTAGTAGTATAGAATCACCATTGCTAGAGTGGGTATTGGCATTGTGGAAGTTGCTGGCTGAACCCAGGGTACGGAACATACTCTGGGCTTCTCATAAACATGGTCCTGCTGTGCCTTAGCTGCTTTGCCATGTTGCCTTGCTTTTAGGAGCATTAGTCCAAGTTGCAGCTTTTTTTTTCTTTTTCAACATATATATTATTTTTTTTATGTACCTGATTTGCCTTCTTTTGAAGGTCACCACTGTGAGCCCTATAATAACCCTGCAGACTTCTTCCTCGATGTCATTAATGGAGACTCCTCTGCTGTGTTGTTAAACAGAGAGGAAGAAGATGGTGAAGGTATGTGCAGCTGTCGTGAGTCACAGATTATTGCCTAATTGAATTGCCTGGAGTGTAGCAGTGTGGCAGCTCATTAAAATGTGGCTTTGTGAATTTGTATAACTAATGCTGTCCTCTGGTACCAGTAGTCCTAGTCCATTTGAGCTGTTGTAACAAGAATACCATAGGCTAGGTGGCTTAAAAAAACAATAATTTATTTCTCACAGTTCTTGAGCCTGAGCAGTCTATCAACAGGTACCAGGAGATATGTTGTCCTTTGGGCCCTTTGGGGTTCATAGATGGACCAGCATCTTCTCCTTGCTGCCTCCCATGGTGGACACAGGGTGGGAACTCTCTGGGGTTACTTTTATAAGGGCACTAATCTCATTCATGTGGGTTCCACCATCATGACCTGATCACTTCTCAAATTCACCACCTTCAAATGCCATCGCAATTGGGGATTGGATTTCAGTAATGAATTTGGGGGGTACTCAAAACATTCAGTATTTAGCATCAGTCAACACAGATTTTGTTGCTCATGAGTGCTCTATTTTTTTATTCAGTTTATAAATGAATCAAATAGTGTCTGTTCTAAGGGGAGTTTTCATTAAAAATATGCTCATGTTTATACAGTGTTTTGATATAAGAAACATAGTCATTTATGCATTTGCAGATAGTAGAAAATGAGGACTAGGTTTTATATTAAGAAATACAACTCTTTATGGTAAGAGTTTTATTTTAAAAGACTCTGGGTACAAATATTATAGCTAAGAGATAATGAGTGTGTCTGCTGCATCCTTAGCATATGGAAGTAGTCAAGCCAATTAAACTATATTTTTCTAATGGATAAAACAATGACAGATCTAAATAATTTGTATATTCAAGTTAGAATTAAGTGTTAGGAAAGACTCTAAGATAGGGGTTCCAAAAATGGCTAAATCAGCTATTTTATCAATATTTCCCTCTGTTCACTTTTATTCCAAAGCCAAGGAGACTGAAAAGCCTTCCAAGGGACATAAGCCACTCATAGAAAAATTGGCTGAGTTTTATGTCAACTCTGCCTTCTTCAGAGAAACGAAAGTTGAATTAGATAAACTCTCAGAGGTTCAGAAAAAGAAGAGTGTGGACATCAAGGACTTCACCTATACCACCTCCTTCTGTCATCAACTCAGATGGGTCTCCAAGCGTTCATTCAAAAACTTGCTGGGTAATCCTCATGCCTCCATAGCTCAGGTAACCTGACAGATTCATGTAATTATGCTGTGCAGTACTCACGTGAGAACATTAGATTCTGATATAACCTACTCCATTCTCTACCCACACTTCTACCTCACTTCATTTGGGATATAGAAATAGTCAATAGAACAAATAAAACACAATTAAGTTTTTAAATATGAATAATGTTTTTTAGTGTTTTTTTGGACTACCCAATTCAGATTTTTTATTGATTTAGACAAGCTGTAATGGAGCATATTTGTACAGAATTTTTCTCCCAAAACAAAGTAAAGAAATGAACGGTTTAGTCAGATTTGTGGTTTTCTGGTAGCTGCACATGTTCATTTCCTGACTTAGTCAACAAGTTTCTATTGATCATGTACTATATTGGGGAGCTTGCACACAGCATTGGACAAATGGATAAAAATAAAAATCCCTGCTCTTCTGGAGCAAACTTTCTTATGAGGAGAGATAGCTGATAAATTCCTACAGAAATAAAATATATAGTGTGGCAGAAGGAAAAATGGGCTATGGAGAAATTTTAAGAAGGAGAGTAGAGAAAGGAAGAGAGAGAGAAAGAGGGAAAGGAGAGGGGAAAGCAGAAGAGAGGGAGAGGGGTTGCTTTGCGATTTAAATCAGGTGGTCAGGGAAGCCTTCACCTGGATGTCAGTGAATGCACTTGAGCATGGAAGGGGCCGCTGCTGTCTGAGGAAAGAACCTGTGTACAGGGGCTGTGCCTTATCACTGACCTTCTGCATTTGGGGGTTCTGATCTGGGAGAGCACCAGACACCTCAGTCAGTTTGCAAGGAACACAAAGGTGGTGAGCAAACTTGACTTGTGTTAAATAAGGCTGTTGTTCAGATTACATTTCTCTTCATTAAGATGAAATCATGTGCTTTCCCTCTTTGGGCTGGTGCTGTTGGGTTGTTGACTATTACTCCTTGATGGTTTAAGCCCACTCATACTAAACCCACACCCCAACCTGGTATTTTCAGTATGTTGGTCCATAATTTCTAAGAAAACAAATTTGGACAGTTATTTTTGTTAATTTTATTACTAGTCTTTGAATTTCTGTTGACTACTAAAAGATGACCCATAGTTGGGTCTAATGAACCATTACTAACACCTTACTATGTGTAGCATAATTTTCATACTTAAGTAGTGTTGCCTTCTAAGTGTTAATACCAAGAGCCTGGATCCTTCTCTAAGGTGTACTGCTAATTGCTTTACATATTTTTGGTAACTGTAATTTGGCATTTCTGCCAGAACATAAGCACTTTTGTATACTATTTATCAAGAGTACATTTTTTTTCTTTTAGAGTGGATTTGATATCATTTGAAAACAAGTCTGGTGAATCAGGTCAACCTGGTTGCTCACTGGTTATCAATGAGACATTCTCATGGACTTCATTGTATAGTATAATTTATGCATCATATTTCTTGACTTGGAAAAGAACTTCAATTTCTCTTGCCTCTAAAAGTGATTTATAAGTGTCATGTCCAAACCACATATATTGTAGTTTTGGGCAAGTGTGATTAGAGTGTGGAACTATTTCTAATACACCACGATTCTGCACCTTTTGGTGCCAGGCTTCCTTCAGCTGCAAACTCCAGGCCTGGTACCTCCAGGTGGCATGTTCAGCCTACTTGCCTCCTCAGGGGCCTCAATTCCACTGAAGGAATTACAGCAATGTTCAGAGCCCTGGCAATATCATAGAATAAGGCTAGAACCTTGTATCTCTGAGCATCTGAATGAGGGAGCAGTATGGCTTCTTGTTTAGATTTTTAAATTCTGGAATATTAACTTATAACAGGAGTAAAGACCACATAGGAAATGTTTGAAGCTTTACATGTCATGAGGTCTTTTTGTCAGGTTGTCAACTCTGCCATATCAACAAGAAAGCAGCTAAAATACAGAAACAAATGAGTATTGCTGTGCTCCAATTTAACTTTTCATAGACACTGAAATTTGAACTTTATAATAATTTCATGTGGCAAGAAACATTTCTCTCTCTTTTTTTCAATGATTAAAATGGTAAAAACCGTTGTTATCCCATGGACTGAACAGAAATCAGTGATGGACACTTTTTGAATCGCAAGTCATAGCTCTTTGACCCCTGGTTTTAGATTTTTAAACTGGCATGTACGTCATTTGCTTCTCTAAGTGTTTGAATGTTTAACTATAAAAATATTTTATGGCTTTTTGCTGATAAATCAGGTATCTGTAGTCTTATAGATGTACTTCAGTTTGAGCTAGTCATATACACAATTCATACTTTGCTTCTGACAATGCATTTAACCAGAGGTTGTATTTGAAAGATCTTGGGCTGAATAGAGTGTCTACAGAAGAAGATTTAATGTTCATTTAATGAACCAAGGGTTTTCTGATCAAATCCATTTGGAAAAATTATTATGTCCCTTGGAGATTCATCATTTCTATTAGCATATTAAACATTTAAGCATGGATTAAATTTTGTAGTTTTGGCCATAAACACATCTCAGAACTCATCTTGAGAAATGTTGGTAAACACTTTAGAACAAAGAATTACATGCTTAGGGGATTTTTTTTTCCTGTACAAAGCAGAGGCCAGATACACAGATATACAGACAGGGTCTCTTTGTGTGCTTTGCTGTGCAGTGTTTACTTTGTTTTCTTTTTAGCACAAGAATGAATAACATAGATGCACCTTGTAAAAATATGACAATATTGCGGGATCAATCATTTGTCAATATATTTGAAAGCTGACTTTGAAAATACTTTTAGAACTTTGAAACTTTTAGGTAACATTCTAATGATAACACTAATAATCTGGTAGTATAAAATACCAAGTTTGAATGCAAAAAAACCCCCAAAACATGTGGCATGTACAGTTCAAAAACTCAAAATATCCCTAGAGTTATACTTTGTGAAATTACAGACTTGTGTACTTGCTCATGCACACATATTGATGGAGTTATCATCACTTATTTTGGAAGTTTGACCTGTTGACATGACTACAATATTTTCTGAGGGTAATTAGAATATATCAGGGTAAGAGTTTTTTTTCAGAGACTCCCAGCCAAGAAGGAGATATAGGTAGATACACTTTGCCTCCTCACACAACCAAAAGAACAACAACAAATTTAAAAACAAAAAAATAACCAGAATTGCCAGAAAATTGAACTGTGTGGAAGTCTGACAACCAAGGAGTTAAAGAAGAGACATTCATCCAGACTGGTAGGAGGGGTAGAGACAGGCTGCCAGGGCAGAGAGGACTCGTGGTAAGGCAGTGGCTGGAGGACCGGCCTCCAGGCAGGTGAGATGGTGGGTGGCAGACCAGGTGGTCCCACATTTGTGTGCGGATAAACCAGGAGGAACAGCTGGAGAGCAAGACAGACTGTGCAATCTGGGGTTCTTGTGTGGGAAAAGAAAGCCTCAAAGCTTCTGGAGGTAAAAATATGTGGGGGTTGTGGTAGCAGGAGAAACTCCCTGTCTCACAGAAGATTCCATTGGAGAGACCCACAGGGTCTTAGAATGTACATAAATCCAGTCATCTAGGAATCAGCACCAGAAGGGCTCAACTTGCTTGTGGGTAGCAGGGGAAGTGACTGAAAGCCTGTGGAGAGCCGAGCAAGCAGCACTGTTCCCTCTCAGACCCGTCCCGCACATACAACTGCACAACGCAGTGACCTGGGTTGCCCCACCCTGGCAAAGACCTAAGGCTCTGCCCCTCCCAACGTAACAGGCATGCTGAGACAAAGAAATATAGGTCCACATGAAAGAACAGATCAAAGCTCCAAAGATAGAACTAAGTAATGAAGAGATAGCCAACCTGTCAGATGCACAGTTCAAAACACCGGTAATCAGGGTGCTCACAGAAATGGTGGAGTATTGTCAAAAACGGAGGAAAAAGTGAAGGCTACACAAAGTGAAATAAAGAAAAATATACAAGGAACCAACAGTAAAGTGAAGGAAACCAGGACTCAAATCAATGATTTGGAGCAGAAGAAAAAGATAAACATTCAACCAGAACAGCAAGGGAGAAATAGGAAGTAACATACAAAGGAGCCCTGATAAGGCTAACAGCTGATTTTTCAACAGAAACACTATAAGCCAGAAGAGAAAAGCAAGAAATATTCCAAGTAATGAAAAACAAAGGCCTGAAACCAAGACTTCTCTACCCAGCAAGGCTCTCAGTTAAGATGGAAAGCAAAATAAAGAGTTTCCCAGACAAAAGAAGGCTAAAGGAATACAACTCCACCAAACCAGCATTGATAGATATGCTAAAGGGGCTGCTTCAAGAAGATGAAGAAAAAGAGTGAGAAGGAGAGGAACACAGGTACAAAGTAAAAAAAAAATAAGTACCTATTAACAATAACTTTAAATGTAAATGGATTAAATGCTCCTATCAAAAGACATAGGGTAGCTAAATGGATCAGAAAACATAACCCACACATACGCTGCCTACAAGAGACCCACCTCAAAGCAAAAGAGCTACATAGACTGAAAGTAATGGGATGGGAAGAAATATTCCAAGCAAATGGACAGGGGAAAAAAGCTGGGGTAGCAATACTTATATCAGACAAAATAAATTTCAAAACAAAGGGGAAAAAAAAGAGAGACACAGAAGGACACTTCATAATACTCAAAGGAAGAATCCATCAAGAAGACATAATATTGTAAACCTATATGCACCCAACATAGGAGCACCCAAATATATAAGGAAAGTCTTGGAGGACGTCAAGAAAGATATAGACAACAACACGCTGATAGTAGGGGATTTTAACACCTCACTGTCAACAATGGATAGATCTTCCAAACAAAATATCAGTAAGGATATTGTGGAACTGAAAGACACATTAAATCAAATGGACTTAACTGATATATGTATAACCTTTCATCCCAAAGGTGCAAATTAAACATTCTTTTCAAACGCACATGGAACAGTTTCAGATAGACCACATGATAGGATACAAAACAAGCCTCAACAAATTCAAGAAAATTGAAATCACAACAAGCATTTTCTCAGACCACAAGGGCTTGAAACTAGAAACCAACCTCAAGGAACAAACTGAAAAACATTCAAACTCATTGAGACTGAATAGCATTCTGTTACACATGAAAGGGTTAATAATGAGATAGAAGAAGAAATCAAAAAGTTTCTGGAAACAAATGAAAACAAACTCACAACAGTCCAAAACCTATGGGACACAGCGAAGGCAGTCCTGAGAGGGAAGTTCATAGTAATACAGGCCTACCTAAAAAAGATAGAAACATTTCAAATAACCAGCCTAACCCTACATCTTCCAGAACTGGAGAAACAAGTGAAGCACAGAGTGAGTAGAAGGAAGGAAATAATCAAGATCAGAGCAGAATTGAATGACAGACTAAAGGAATAATTCAAAGGATCAATAAATCAAGGAGCTGGTTCTTTGGAAAGATAAACAAAATCAACAAGCCTTTCAGCAGACTCATCAAGAAAAAAAGGGAAAGGACCCAAATAAATAATATCAGAAATAAAAGAGAAGTAACAACCAATACCACAGAAATACAAAGGATGGTAAGAAATTACTATGAAGAATTATATGCCAAGAAAATTGAAAACCTGGGTGAAGTGGACAAATTTCTAGAAAAATATAACTTCCCAACACTGAATGAAGAAGAAACAGAAAGCCTGAACAGACCTATAACAGCTGGTGAAATTGAAGCAGTAATCAAAAAACTCCCGGCACACAAAAGCCCTGGACTGGATGGTTACACACGAGAATTTTAAAAACATTTCAGGAAGAGCTAACCCATGTCCTTCTCAGAATATAACAAAAAATCCAAGAAGAGGGAAGACTCCCAAACTCTTTTTATGAGGACAGCATCATCCTCATCCCAAAACCAGACACACACAGACTGAAGAAAGACAGCTACAGCCCAATATTGCTGATGAACACAGATGCTAAAACTCTCAACAAAATATTTGCAAACTACATTCAACAATATATTAAAAAGATCAGCCACCATGATCAAGTGGGAATCATCCCAGAGATGCAAGGATGGTTCAATATTTGAAACTCAATAAAGGTAGTACATCATATAAACAAAAGGAGAGACAAAAATCACATGATCATATCAATAGGTGCAGAAAAAGCATTTGATAAGTTACCACACCCATTTGTGATAAAAACACTCAGCAAAGTGGGAGTAAAGGGGGCATACCTCAACATAATAGAAAACATATATGAGAAACCTACAGCCAACATCATACTCAATGGGCAAAAACTAAAAGCTTTCCCACTAACATTGGGAAAAAGGCAAGGATGTCTGCTTTCACCACCTCTATTCAACATAGTATTGGAAGGCCTAGCTACAGTGATCAGACCAGAAAAAGAAAGAAAAGGCATCCAAATGGGAAAAGAGAAAGTAAAACTGTCATTGTTCGCAGATGACATGATAGTGTACATAGAAAACCCTGTAGACTCCACCGAAAATCTACTCAATTCATTATAAGTGAATTTGGCAAAACAGTGGGATAAAAAGTCAATATAGAGAAATGGAAGGCATTTTTGTACACAATGAAATATCAGAATCAGAAATCAGGGGGAAAAATCCCATTTGCTATAGCAACAAGAAAAATAAAGTACCTAGCAATAAACTTAACCAAGGAGGTAAAGACCTGTACTCAGAAAACTACACAACACTGAAGAAAGAAATTATGGAAGACACAAATAAATGGAAACATATACCATGTTCACAGACTGGAAGAATTAACATCTTCAAAATGTCCATATTACCCAAAACAATTTATAGATTTAACAGAATCCCAATTAAAATAACCATGATGTATTTTACAGATATAGAACAAACATTTAAAAAAAATTATATGGAACCATAAACAACCCCAAATATCCTCAGCAATTTTGAGAAAGAAGAACAAAGTAGGAGGGATCATGATACCTGACATCAAGGTATATTACAAGGATGCTGTAATCAAAACAGTCTGATACTGGCATAAGAACAGACACATAGATCAGTGGAACAGGATAGAGAGCCCAGAACAAACCCATGTCTCTATGGTCAATTAATATTTGACAAAGGGGGCAGAACCTTAAAATGGAGTAAAAATAGCCTCTTCAACAAATGGTGCTGGGGGGCCTGGACAGCTCTATGCAAAAAAATTTGACCACCAACTTTCATCACACACAAAAATAAACTCAGGATGCTAAAAGGTTTAAATATACATCACAACACGTTAAAAGTCCTAGGGGAGAACATAGGCAGGAAACTTTCAGATACTCCACTCAGCAATATTTTCACCGATATGTCACTTAGAGCAAAGGACATAAAGGAAAGAATAAACAAATGGGACTTCATCAAAATAAGAAGCTTCTGCATGGCTAAAGAAAACATCAGCAAAATGAAAAGGGAATCAACTGTATGTGAAAATATATTTGCCAATGATACCTTGGACAAGGTTTGATCTCCAAAATACATAAAGAAATCACACGACTCCATTCCAGGGAGACAAAGAATACAATTTAAAAATGGGCAAAGAACTTGAACTGACACCTCTCCAAGGAGGACATACAGAGGGCCCAGAGACATGAAACGATGCTCAGCATCAGTAGCCATCAGAGAAATGTAAATTAAAACCACAATGAGATACCACCTCACACCGGTCAGAATGGCCATCATAGACAAATCAACAAGCAACAAGTGCTGGCAAGGTTGTAGGGAAACCATAGTCCACTGCTGGTGGGAATGTGGATGGTGCAGCCACTGTGGAAAACAGTTTGGAATTTCCTCAAGAAGCTAAAAATAAAACTACCTTTTGACCCAGTGATTCCACTGCTGGGATTATACCCTAAGAATCACAAAACACCAATTCAAGAGAACCTATGCACCCCAGTGTTCATAGAAGTACAATTTACAGTAGCCAAGTGCTGGAAGCAACCTAATTGTCCAACAGTAAATGAGTGGATCAAAAAACTATGGTACACTTACACAATGGAATGCTATGCAGCAGAAAGAAAGGAAGAGTTACTACCATTTGTGACAGCATGGGTGGGACTGGAGAGCATTATGCTAAGCAAAATAAGCCTGGTGGTAAAAGTCAAATACCATATGATCTCACCTATAAATGGAACCTAATCAACAAAACAAGCAAACAAGAAAAATATAGCCAGCAACTCTGAAAGAAAATACAAACTGACAATAACCAAAGGGGAGGAAGGAGGAGGGAAATGAGGAAAAGTAGGGGAAGTGTCAAGTCAAGGAACATGTATAAAGGACCCATGGATAAAGCCAATGTGGAGAATAATATGATGGGAGGTGGGTTGGGTGGGGCAGGGGAAAGTGGTGTTTGGAAAATGGAGACAGCTGTACTTGGACAAGAAGAAAAAAAATAAATTAAAAAAATATAATAAAATGTTCTTGTAATATTAAATGAAGGGGTTTTTTTCCCCAATTTTTTTACTGTCTTATTAACAATGGAATTTTTAGAGGCCATCTCTAATTATATTTCTACCAAACCATATAGTCTTCACAAACTAGGTTTTGCAAATCACAATCCTGTTTTTCAGTTTCGTTTGCTTCATGTCTAAAGTGTGCTTGACAAGTTACTTCAAGTTTGGAAACTATTGCACTGTTGTAATATTGAGATTTTTTCTTTTTAACTTTGAAGGTTCCAAGATACATTGTGGAATATATTCTTCTGATTCCTTTTTCTTATATTTTATATTTAATACCATGTAAAAGTACAATAAATAGAATTTCCTTAAATAAATTATATGATAATATAACTCTTAACACTTTGCTTAAGAACTGTTCTTAAGACACAGTTTATCAATCTTAATAATAAAAGTGATGTTCATTTAGTCTTCCTTAGACTCATCAAACAGACTAAATGAAGGCAGTACGAGTGGGAAAGAATCAGGGCTTATTTCTAATATGGGCTGTACGCCCTACACGCTGAGGTTGCTGGGGAAGCAGTGACAGGACAATGGGTAATGGAAGTAAGCACGGGGGCCCTCACAGAAAGTTGACTGAATGCTTTGGTGACAGTGACAATGCAGTGTTCCGTGCAGGAATGGAGACTCCCCCTACCCCCACCTCATAGGTGGGCCCCAGCTTACTGCTATTCCTTATGGTGCAAAATTCCATTGTTAGAAATTTTGTTATGTGTGCTTTATAAATTGTATTCATTTTTGCGTGCTTTAAAAATCGTATTTATTTTTAATGCTAAGAATATTTTTAATATTCTGTTATTGCTTGAACCTCCTGAGATACTGTACAACTAAGCATGTCCACTAGTACAAAGGTTGAGAATTCAGGTCAGGGCTCTTAGCCACTTGACTTTATTTTACTCCCCCAGTGGCTTTGCTAGACTCCTGTGCTGTTCTCCACTGTGTATAGCGTTCCCAGGCCCAGCAGCCCGAACAGGACCCTGAGCTGGCAGTGCCTGGGAAGCCCTGGGAGGGGTCTCAGCTTTTCCAGGAGCCTACTTCATCCTCTTTCAGCTTCCCCAACACACAGATCAATGAATTTTTATTTTAATTTAGAGGGCAGTCTGCTAGCGTTCACTGTTTTATATTTTCCCGGGGACTTTGGCCAAGTCATTTAAAGTATCTATCTCAATGGAGTGATTGCCTATTGTAACAATAAATGGTGTAAAGTTTTTACCTTTAATTGAAACTTTTTTTTTTTCTATTTTGAAAAGGTAATTGTAACAATCATCCTGGGACTGGTTATAGGTGCCCTTTTCTATGATCTGAAGAGTGACCCTACAGGAATCCAGAATAGGTAAGTACATTTGAATCTTGATTTTGAGAAAGAGCTGTTACTTTTTCTAAGGTTTTAAAAATCCACTAAGAATTTCAATTTCAGAGAAATACAGGATGGACTGAGGAGTAGAATAAGTTAATGAATTGAAAGATGCATGGAAGGGTTAATTTTCAATATGGCTGGAAAAAAGCACAGCCATTGTTAACATAACAAGAATGGTTTGCACTACATTGATGTAACCTGGCAGCCAAGGAGAATGGGCTGAAATGTGCATGTGTGAACAATGATGACTTCACAGTACTAATCAAGGGGGTGGTAGATAGCGTTTAGTGAGTATATGTGCTGTGTGGCTGTCACATTCAAAATGACTGAATGAGTAGAGCAATGAATCTATCAAATTTTGCATTAAGCTTGAATATTCCTCCAAGAAAACTATTTGGATGATTCAGAAGGCTTTTGGGGATGATGCAATGAGTGCAGCACAAAAAGAAGTTTGGCACAAACACTTCAAAGCTGGTCAAGAATCTGTTGAAAGTGATCCATGTTCTGGAAGGCCTGCAATAAGCAGAGCACCTGAGAATGTTGAACGCGTATGGGCTGCAGTCAAGAAAGATCAGTGACTGACATTGTGAGAACTAGAAGCTGATCTGGGGATTCCAAAATCTACTATGCCTGAGATTTTGACGCAGGATCTTGGCATGAGATGCGCTATGGCGAAATTCATTCCTCAGCTTCTGTTATTAAAGCAGAAGGAACACTGTGCTGCAGTTGCTAATGACTTGATTCAAACTGCTACCAATAAACTAGATTTCCTCAAGAAGGTCATAACTGGAATTGAATCATGAGTCTATGGCTATGATCCAGAAATGAAGGTCCAGTCATCCCTGTATATGTCTCCTGGTTTTCTACACCCAAAGAAGGCACAACAAAATCAGAAAGATGAAGACCATGTTAACTGTGCTTTTTGATTGGGAAGGTGTTGCCCATCACAAGCATAATGCTCCTCCAGGCTAAACAATTAATAAGGAGTAGTACCTCAATGCTATTTGTTAGATGAGAAATGCAATACAACAAAAATTATTGCAGCTATGGCAGGTTCATCACAATGTACCTGCTCATGCATCATATCTAGTGCAGAGTTATTTGGCAAAACATCAAATCACCCAGGTGACACAGCCCCCCTACAGCCTAGATTTGGTGCTCTGCAACCTCTGTGTTCCCAAAACTAAAATCCCCTTTGAAAGGGAAAATATTTCAGACCGTCAGTGAGATTCAGGAAAATACAGTTATGATGGGACAGCTGATAGTGATTCCAACAAAGGAATTTGCAGTGTTTTGAACAGTGGAAGAGATACTGGAAGAACTGTGTGAGGTCTCAAGGTGGCTACACTGAAGGGCACCAAGGCATCATTGTCCTATGTGCAATGTTTCATGTATCTTCTTCAATAAATATCTCTATTTCGCTTAGTGAATGGCTGGATACTTTCCGAACAGACCTCATATTGTGGTAAAATATACGGAACGTAAAGTTTACCCTCCTATCCAGGTTTAGCCGTGCAATTCAATGGCATTAATTACATTCACATTGTTATGCAACTGAAGTAAGATAGTTATAAGCTGGGAAAATTCCTTAGCAAGTGGAATAGGGAAACAGACAGCTGATTTATATTGACCTCATCAAGCACCATAAATCATCTGCCTCCTTCTCCCTTGAATGACCATCCCCTTAAACATTAAGCCCTCAGGACAGCAAGCTTCTGATCAGCATTAAGTAATCTTGGGAGCAAAACCTTGGGTCTGTTGATCACAGAGACAGATTTTTGGTCAAACTGGAGATAACATCTAGACCTCAGGTATGTTTCAGCTTTAGACCCAGAAAAGCAGCAAAACCAGATGAAATGACACCATGGCTGGCATCAGGACCAGCCGCAATGAGCAATGACCCCCTACCCTAGTGCTGACCAGTCAGTACAGACCATGATCCTGACTCTAGTGCTCATTTTGATGCATCAGCATATTAAAGCACACACTTGGGAGGCCGATGAGATTCTCCCCTGAGACATCCCCTAAAACTCCTGCTTTTAGAAAATTGATAAAAGCTACTATGAGAAAGGATGCAGTAGGCGCTGTCTCCCTAGTGCGAGCCCACGGCCTCTTCCTTCAGGTGTGTATCTTTGCTTTCTTTCTCCCAAGCTCTAAAGGTCCCCATGAGACACGCAACCAGAAGTGCCGTGGACAAGGGCAGCTTGTCACGGGCTAACCCCTTGAACCTGTCTTCAGGGGCCCTCTTTTTGGCCAGTGTAATTTGTTTCCTGAGTCCATGCAGTCCAGCTGGCTCACTTCTCCTGCCTATCTAACTCTATTTGTAAAAGAGCAAGGCAGTTCCTTGAGCAGCCCTCTGGAATCTTCTCTTCCAGTGTACTTTTGCTTTGCATGCTAGATAAACTTCCTCTTGCACAAGAGTTCTTGCCTCTGAATTTTTTTTTGCTGAACTCAAAAACCGAAGAGTCAACATTGCTGCCAGCACAGCCATCACAACCATTCAGCTCTAGAACATTTTTTCCTATTTCCAAAGTGAATCTCTGTATCCATTGAATGGTACCCACTCCCCATTCTCCCTTTCCCCAGCCCCTGGAAACCACCATTATACTTTCTGTCTCTGAATTTGACTACTGTACATATTTCATATAAGTGGAATCATACAGTATTTATCCTTGGGTGACTGTTTTATTTTTCTTAGCATAATATCTTCAAGGTTAATCTATGTTGTAGCATGTGTCATAATTTCTTCCTTTCAAAGGCTGAATAACATTCCTTTGTAATATTTCATTTATTTTATTGACCACATTTTGTTTATTCATTTATCTGTCCATGGAGACAAGGGATTGTTTCCACCTTTGGCTGTCGTGAATAATGCTGCTATGAATATGAGTGTACAAATCAATATGTGTTTGAATCTCACTTTAAATTCTTTTGGATAAACATCCAGAAGTGGAGTTACTGGATCATTTGGTAATTCTACTATTATTATCGTTTTATTGTTATTGTTTGTTTTTTGAGGAGCTGCCATCCCATTTTCCTACAGCAGCTGCACCATTTTGCATTTCTACTAACAGTGCACAAGGGTTCAGTTTCTCCCCAGCCTGAGCAACACGTACTGCTTTTCTTTATAACCGTAATTGGTATCTCATTGTGGTTTTGATTTGCATTTCCCTACGGATTAGTGGATTAGTGGTGTTAAGCATCTTTTCATGTGGTTATTGGCCTTTTGCATATCTTCTTTGGAGAAATGTTTATTCAAGTCATTTGCCCTTTTCTTTTAACTGGACATTTTTATTGTTGAGCTGTAAAAGTTCTTTATATATTCTGGCTATTAACCCTTTATGAGACATAAATTTGTGAATATATTCTGCTATTCTGTGGGTTGTCTTTCAGTCTGTTGATAGTGTTGTTTAGTAAATAAAGTTTTAAGTTTTGCCACAGTCCATTTTATCTATTTTTTTGTTTTGTTTTGTTGCCTGTGAATTAATTTCCATTCTACTTTTTGATTGGTTTCATGTGGCACTCAGTTTTTCCTAACTGCAAATGGGGGAAAAGCATTAGAATGCATTAAATTATTTAACAAAAAGCATTTCCCATAAAATAAGTTTGTGTAATTGTGAAATAGGAGGCAATGATGATTTACCTACACATTCAGTGGCACAACTAAACTAGGCACTGAAGTGAAATCCAGTTGTCGTTGGTGGCTGCAGTCCACATTCAGGATCTAGGGTAGAACAGTGGGCTGGAAAATTTGCAGGCAAAATGGATATTGCACTCCTTAAAAAAAAAACAAATGCCATTTGACAACTGCCAAGATGCTTTCATCAAACAGGGGACATGCTCAGTTATAATCATGTGTAAAGTTTGAGCTTTGTTTACCTAATGGTTACCATATAGGGTTATGGTGATAGCTGAACAAATAATGTGTATTAAGAGAAAAGGTCTTTAAAAAATGTATTTGGATCCATAAGTTGATATTAATGGCATAGATTACCACCTTAACTGGAATTAAAACATGTTAAATTCTTTAACAATAAAATCTTTTTATTTTAAAATCATAAAATAAATTATCTTATGATTTAGAAGGAATTTCACTATCTACTAGTTCAGTATCATTATGAACTTTATTGTACTGTTAGAACAAAGACTTAAACTGAGCTGAATGTTGCCATGTCCCATGTTTATGATACAGGCTTTTCCTTTGATATTAGGCTTTTGTTTATTGTTTTATTCTAAAAGCTTGCATAACTACTTGTATACTGGGCCTGGATATATTCGACTTATTTATTCTTGTATAAACATTTACTTTTAAGTCAGGCTGTTGCCTAAGCTCTGTTCTTTATTATTATCATTATTATTGATGGTAAAAACAATTATTAAGTATATGAACTTTTTGTTTTGGAGTTGTACACTCAGATATACGTAATGTGCCACTTTCTCTCTTAGTTTCTATTTGCATCCTCAATGTTAATTAAATTGTGTGCTTGTGCAGGAAGAGCAACACTGTTTTGGGGATGCTGGCGTGCTTTCAGCAATTTTATAGTCCTATCAAAGTGCAGATGAGCTGAGTACTTTCTTTTTAGACCTTATTTTATGGAGAGGGAAGCATTAATAGTCTTCCTTTTCTTAAGAGGCACGTGTTAATTTCTCCTTTGGAAGTGCGATTTGCTTTCTTTTGGAGCGTACAGCAAACCACGTTGGCAGTGGGTTGTGAAAGACAAAGGTTCTTACAACTATGAGATGAATGTGTATAATAAGGTACCGACAGAGGCTTCTCTCCACTCTCTTTCATTTGGCCTCTTCATGTCTTAGTTCCTTTTTTACTCAACTTTGACAAACTGGATAATAGAGGTTTCTAACCTTTGCAGATCTTCACTATTTCTCTGTTCATGCATTAGGATGGAACTTGTGTTTTCATTAGTTAAAATTAAAGGTGGTGGCATTTTTATGACTTTTGTAATCATTGCTTTGGCTGCCATAACAACCACAGACTGGATGGTTTAAACCAGAGGTCCCCAAACTTTTGGGCACCAGAGACTGGTTTCATAAAAGACAATTTTTCCACGGACTGGGGTAGAGGGAATGGTTTCAGGATGATTCAAGCACAGGACAGGCAAGCTCACCTCCCGCTCTGCGGCCCCCATCCTAACAGGCCCGGACTGGTACCAGTCTGTGGCCCAGAGGTTAGTGACTCTGCCTTAAACAACACGTATTTATTTCTTACAATTCAGAAGGTGGGGGGCTCTGGCTTTCTGCTTCCCGCTGAGTCCTCACGTGGCACAGACAGAGCCCTGAAGTCTCTCCTTTTTCTCCTGAGGACACCGATCCCATCAGGAGGGCTCCACCCCCATGACCTCATCTAAACTTAACTACCTTCCAAAGATGCCGCCTCTAAATAGCTTCACATTGAGGGATAGGGCTTCAACATAGGGATTTGGGGGAGACAGATCAATCCGTGGCAACCCAGGACTGTGAATTTCAAACTGCACCATATGGAGTCCACTGGGGAGACGCTGGGGTAGGGAGAGTCCTGAGGGGGCTCGTGCTTCCCTTCCTCACTGTCTTATCCAGAACACCTGTTCAAGGTCCTAAGCTATCATTTGAGGAAAGAGTTTTGCAGGTAGAAGATTGATCTCAGAATGTTGAATTGATTGCGGTGCTCCTGTTCTCTTCTCTCATCGCAGAGCTGGGGTGCTCTTCTTCCTGACGACCAACCAGTGCTTCAGCAGTGTATCATCCGTGGAGCTCTTCGTGGTTGAGAAGAAGCTCTTTATGTGAGCATGTCTCTGTTCCAGGAAGAGGGCTGTCCAGTGTCAATCGGTCACGTACACAGCCGGGCCACAGATTGGTTCCTGGGGAGTCAGGGTCCATTGAGAAAAAGCAGCCAGGGGCCGGGAGGGGAATCGTGAGCATAAGGGGCCTGTGACCAAGGGAAAAGGAGTTTCAAGATTAGGGCATAACCTTGAATGCAAACGGTACAGCGAATGCAAGCAGTAGCGGCTGAAAATGAGCTTTTGTTGTAGCAACTAAGGAGTCACGATGACCTTCACAAGGAAAGCTTGAGGGGCTTGGTAGAGAGAAAGAACTGGATTAAACACTCAGTTGAATGTGAGGACGTAAAGTTGACGAAGACTGTAGGCCAAGCTTATCGCTCAATGGAAGGGAGAATGGAAAAGGCCAGGAGGAAGCCTGAAAGAAAGTGTGGGCTGGGTTGGTTCCTGTGTTCTTCAAAGTTGGAAGAGCTTTGCCCCTATTTACGTGCTTGAGGAAAGGAATCAGTAGAGAGGCAAAGAATGCAGATATTGGTGGAGGAGTCTGGAATCACAGGAGGAGGATGTCGGGAAGAGGAGGGATCTGGGACTTCACTGGGGAGAAATCAGGATTTGATAGCTGCCACAGATTACCGCTGGGGACGTGATCATTGAAGGAAGACACGCCGTGTTTTTTTCCCACCATGGGAAAGGAAGAAGTGAAAAGGGTTTAGTGATCCTGGGCTGCACTGGGGGTTATTGGGAATAACACCACCTTCTTCATAATTATAAGTGGGAGAAAGCAAAGCCCCCCTGACCACTGAGATCAGCTACGGAGGTGCCACCTTTCAAGGAAACCCAGTGTCGGAAGGGAGGCAGGAGATAGAGAACGTGTTCACCTGGAGTGGGGGTTGCGAGGGCGAAGTGGGCGGCCTTAGGAGGGAATTCTGTAAAGTGAAGAGGGGTCCTCGCACAGAGCAGGTTGGGAATGATGTGTCAGGGGAGGCGTGCCCCTGAGATGGCGCCTGGTGCTGACTGGGTGAAGGTGGTGGGTTAGGTAACCTGGAGGATGTGAGAAGCTGTAGGTGTTCGACCCCTGCGGCAGGAGCTCTACAGAGCAAGTGGCTGAATCATCTGGCCTGTGCCTTCTGAAGCTCATGTGGGATGCGTGGTGTGAATTTTTGTGTTTTAGGCATGAATATATCAGTGGATACTACAGAGTGTCATCTTATTTCTTTGGGAAACTGTTATCTGATTTACTACCCATGAGGATGTTACCAAGTATTATATTTACTTGTATAATCTACTTCTTGTTGGGTAAGTAGTAAGACAAAAAGTACGTGTCTGTAGAGTTGGGAGTGAGGGGAAGCTAATGTCTTTTTGCAAGAATGTTTTTGGTTCTCAAAACGATAAACGACGCCACAGGATAAGGAAGCATCCATCTATTGTGCACACTCTGAAATAACTATTCTCTGAGAACACTCATGTCAAGACTTTCCCCACCCTAACGTTTATGCCTATTTATAAAATCATATGTTACTCAGTGATGGTGTGTGTCATATACAGACATGGAAAGCATTCATTAAGTAATTGACACTTGGTGGGAAGAGCTTGAGCTGTGATATCTATTACCTATTTATGTTCTTATGTATGTGTGTGTGTGTGTGTACACACACACACACACATATACATGAACCGAAAGATAGAAACTTTTGGGGTTTATTTTTTTAATAAGAATATTTTTGATTACCTGAAGACAGATTCACGTGTGCATTGTATTAAGGGTTCTCCCCAGGCTCATTGCCTTGGAATTTGCATGTATTGCACTGTATACATACTGAGATACTAGTCATATATATATGACTAAAATATATATATTTTATATATATTATATAATATGTATTATATATATATTTTATATATATTATATATAAAATGGGAAGCTGGGCCACAGACTGGTTCTTGGGGATTCAGGGGTCATTGAGAAAAAGCAGCCCCTGGCTGATACACACACACACACACACACACACACACACACACTTTTTTTTTTCGAGAAAGTACCATAGGAGAAGACACCCTGATTGGGTTTAAATTTCCATTTGACAAGTGAGAGGCAAGTCTTAAAGAGGCAGGCACACCTCCGGGACCCTTGGGCTCCTGACTAGTGTTCCTACGGCTGTCCCAAACCCTGTTCAGAATGTGTGGCCCATAACGGTACCCCATTATAGTTTAGAAGGTGGTTTCCTGAATCCCAAGCTCTATGGTACTTGGTCTCAGACATCTGCGTTCTGCAAGCCGTCCCTCAGATAGTGAAACCACTGGGAGGTCATGCCATCCTGATCTTCCCGCACTGCTCACTACCACAGTTAGCACAGTTACGGCACGCAGTGCGTAGTGTGGGGATGTCTGGGTGAAAACAATGTGTCCTCAACAAGCTTCTTTCTCAGAGAGAAGGCTGTAGAAGTCTGGCTGGTGTGCTGCCTCCAGCTCTCATCTAAAGCACTCAGCAATTGTTAATCGTTATACAACAAGGAGCACAGGCATTACATGAAAAAGTGCTCGTGCATTAGTGTAAAAAAGAAAACTGAGTGCTAACTCTGTGCAGTTCTGTGAGGGGGGACAATGAAATTGGCAACTCAGGGCGGCTGGATAGAGGGTGAATGTTTTCATTTTAGTATTAACTTCTCATTCATATTTGCGCAGTAAACAGTGAATCCCAGGTACGCAGTGACCTAGGTGGTTGGATGAACCCCCTCTTTTCTTCCTAAGGATTGAAGCCAACGGTGGAGTCCTTCTTCATCATGATGTTTACCCTCATGATGGTGGCTTATTCGGCCAGTTCTATGGCTCTGGCCATAGCAGCAGGTCAGAGTGTGGTATCAGTAGCAACACTCCTCATGACCATCTCCTTTGTGTTTATGATGGTGAGTAGGAACTGTGCTTCTCTGAGTAGTAGTTATTTTCCCACTTTCATGCCGCTAGTTCACCTGTCATGGAAAACCTCCTTTGAGGATTCTTTAAATGGGACTCTTAGCTTTAAGGAAGCCATATATTAAAATATGGCTTGTATTGGAGAATGTACCAGCTTTTTCTCTACCTTACCCAGCCTTTTTCTGCTACTGTTCTAATATAATTACTATAACTTTAGTTAAATGTTGTTACAAATGAGAGTTTAAAAGATGCTTCTTGGTGACCTAAAGTGAAACCTTGATGACTGGGAACTTCAAAAACAGGAATATTTTGACAGGAAGATTCCCTCATAAAAATGACAGGTTGATTGCCTGACTTCTGTGCGGGTGTTAGAGAACCGCTGGCTTATTTACCCAGCAGCTGAGATGGTTTGTTTGGATCAAATACTTTCCAAGGGATAAGCTCAGCTCCATGGGACTAGAACACTATGTGTGTGGCATGGGTAACTATCTTGGTTCCTCCTGTATTTTGAAATGGATTGTTTTAAAAATAGTGAAATATTCCAAAGTCCACACAGCACTAGGTCCCCTCCTTTCTGAGTTCCTGACATTCACTTATGTCAATATATTTCTGTTTACCTCTTTTTCTTAACGGTTATTTAACCCTACTCTTCAATGCCCCTGATGTTTGCGTGCACATAGATGAATGACAGGGTCAAGGACCAAGGTAGCGAATTCAAGTGAACAGGGATGCTTAGCCTATTTACTAACTAGATATGTCCTTTCTGTTAGAGCAGGAGTAGATGTATTTAAAAGTTGTAAATAGCACACTCTTGCCATTGAAAACTACCGATCTAAACTTTATTGAGGAAGTGATAGACCTTGCATACGTTTCCAGTATGTCATCCAATAAATAAAATGTCCTTCAATATATAAAAGTGTTTTGTTTGATATATTAGATGGTTTGATTCATTATTATTTAATGGTTTGTATAGAGAGCCTGTAAAACCATATATTGCTGAGAGATGTTATATGTTAACACTTTGTGAGATCAGAAATATGAACTCCCACCAACATCATTGTCAATGTTAGGCCCATCCCCACTGGCGAGTGCCAGTTGAGAGAAGTTTTGTAGGGACCTCTTCTTACGTAGCCATCTCTTGCTGGAGCGGTCCTTCCTGGGGTCTTCTTGGCAATACTGCTTTTGGTAGCTTAAAGTGAAGATATTGACCATATGTTATGCTACAGTTTGCCACATTATGTCTAGGCTTTGGGTTATTTTAAACATGCGTTCTGAACCCCCAATTATTCCTAAAGCCATAATGAGATAGAATGCAAACCCTTGTAAATAACAAAGCCTTCTGTGTTATGGAATTATAGAGGGGCATGAGGTGCTCAGGATATGTTCTGGGTGTCTGTTTGTGGGAATATGCAGTGGTTGTAGCATTACAACAGTCAGGACTATGGGCCTTCCACTGCTTGCTGTTTCAGAGAAAGTAAAAGCCTTCACAATTAAGGATCTTCCAGTTAAATGAAATATAGGTGTATTGTCATTCCTTTAAAACCACAAACAGCCTCAGCTGTAGAGAGGAATACACATGCAAAAAGGATACGGTAAGTCTTTGGAGTAGTGGAAGGAATTTTAAGGAAGAGTTGGCCTTAGCAGAAAGGTTTACAGGGTAGTAGGAACGTAAGAAGCATGACCTCCAGAATTCTTCACGAGACCACTCCACCGGCTCTGATGTTGCATCTGCTCTCTGCAGATTTTTTCAGGGCTGTTGGTCAATCTCAGAACCGTTGTGTCTTGGCTCTCTTGGCTTCAGTACTTGAGCATTCCTCGATATGGCTATGCGGTAAGTTTTCCTCTTCCGTCCCTGTGACTAGGCTACTGTTCGCAAGCTAGGAGCAAACAGAGTAAAGCCTGGCCATCTCATGTCCCCAGGCATGAGTGGGGAGGTCTCCCAGGAAGTTCCTTTTAGGAGCAGTGAAGATCAGTTTCCTATTAAGCCTTAAGTGAACTTGACTTTCCTGTCACACTGTTGAGTGAGGGAGGTGAAGGGTGGGGCGATAATTCACAGTTAAGGAGGGAGATTGAGCAACTGATGTAAAAAATGTAGTCGGTTTCTGTTCAATAAGGAAATATGTGAGAGGATGGGAGCCTAGACTACATTTTTTTCTAGGCTATGTATGTTATATTGCAAGGGGAATTAGAAGAACCAAAACCATTTAATATTCACACCATTATTGGCTTTAGAATCTAGTCAATTCCAGTGAAAGTTGTCTGTGTCTTATTGTGGTATAATTGAGTCTCAACTGCCAGGAATTACAACTGGTTCAATTAAAACAATCAAGATGCATATGGGGTAAAATAGCCAGAGGTCATCCCTCCTTGAGAAATACTTTATTTCCTTTGTATTAGAAGCCAAAATTCCAACCAAAGGCCTCTTGATTGCCGGGAACAATCATTTTAGTTGCTGTGGTGTCACAAAGAGTGTGAATGTGAAAATTGTGCTTTTTTCAGAAATAACAATAAAGATTAAACTATGAGGATGTGATTGTGATAATTCTTTGGTACCTTTTTGAAATTTAAAGCTGTTTACCTTGCCTGCTTCTCCTTGCCTTACAGGCTTTGCAGCATAATGAGTTTTTGGGTCAAAACTTCTGCCCGGGACTCAACATAACAGCAAACAATACCTGTAGCTTTGCAATGTAAGTTTGTATTCAGTGTCTACACCTAGTGTAGTATGGCCAAATTGTATCTAAGTGGGAAAAATATTTCTAATGTGCCGTTTGTTTGGGGCCTTTTAAGAGATCCTTTTGCTGTTTTGCTTGTGGGTATGAGATTTCATTTCCAGAACATTTGCTTTTGAAATTAGTTGCTTTAATCTTTTAGCAAGACCTTCCTGTATCTGTACTATCTAGATTACGTGAGGTGTTTGGGTCCATAAACTTATGGCTTCATGTGAGCCCAACCCGTGTGAGACCAGCAGTAAGAGCTGAAGGGGCAAAAAATTGGAAAGAGAGTGAACATTGTCCTTTCACCATCATGGTACTTGTTTCTTGCTCCTGCAGTTAGAAGAAGACATCATGAAATCAAAGTCTGCACAGTTTTTGTTTGTTTCTTATACTGACTTGGACTACTGCCAGTGGAAGTATCCTCCACAGAAAGTAACACGTGTTTTAGTAAGCTAAAAAGGAAATCCCCTTTTTGGCATTATGTCAATAAAACAGAAATGCATATTTTAATAAAATTAGAGAATATTTCTTAAAAATTAAGGGAAACTCTTTTTTCTTTTTTTATTGTTCAGTTACAGTGGTCCCAATCTTTTCCCTGTTGCTCTCCCCTGCCCTGCCCACCCCCGACCCCCCGACTCCCACGGTCAATCCCCACCCTGTTGTCCATGGCCATGGGTCCTTTATACATGTGCCTTGGCTTACCCCTTCTCTGTCTTTCTCCTATGATCCCCCTCCCCCTAACCCTTTGGTCATTGTCAGTTTGCTGCTTATTTGTCTCTGGTTCTATTTTGCTCGTTTGTTTGTTGATTAGTTTCCACTTATAGGTGAGATCATATAGTGTTTGTCTTTCACTACCTGGCTTGCTTCACTTACCATAATGCTCTCCAGTTCCATGCATGCTGTTGTGAACTGTAGTAATCTGCTGCGCAGTATTCCATTGCGTAAATGTACCACAGTTTTTTGATCCACCGATCTACTAATTTAGCTTTTTTCCAGCATTTGGCTATTGTAAATAATGCTGCTATGAACATTGGGGTGCATAGGTTCTTTTGAATTGTTTTCAGGGTTCTTAGGGTACAATCCCAGCAGTGGGATTGCCAGGTCAAAAAGCAGTTCCATTTTTAGTTTTCTGAGGAAATTCCAAACTGTTTTCCACAGTGGCTGCCCCGGTCTGCATTTCCACCAACGGTGTATTAGGGTTCCCTTTTCTCCACAACCTCGCCAGCATTTGTTGTTTGTTGATTTGTTAATGATGGCCATTCTGACTGGTGTGAAATACTATCTCATAGCAGTTTTAATTTTCATCACTCTGATGGCTAGTGATGCTGAGCATCCTTTCATATATCTCTGGGCCCTGTGTATGTCCTCCTTGGAGAAGTGTCTGTTCAAGTTCCTTTGCCCATTTTTTAAATGGATTGTTTGTCTTCTGGGAGTCCTATGAGTTCTTTATATATTTTGGAGAGATATCATTGGCAAATATGTTTTCCTGTACCGTTATTTCCCTTTTCATTTTGCTGATGTTTTCTTTGTCTGTGCAGAAATTTTTTAATTTGATGTCGTTCATTTTTCTTCTTTCCTTTATATCCCTTGTCCTAGGGGATATAACAATGAAAATATTGCTGTGTGGGATATTTGACATTTTACTGCCTATGTTCTCCTCTAGGACTTTTATGGTGTCACTGCTTGTATTTAAGTCTCTTATCCATCTTGAATTTCTTTTTGTGTATGGTGTAAGTTGGTGGTCCAGTTTCATTTTTTTGCATGTCGCTGTCTACATCTCCCAATACTGTTTGTTGAAGGGGCTGTTTTTGCTCCATTTTATGCTTCTGCCCTCATTGTCAAATATTGATTGACCATTGAATCATGAGTTTAACTGTGGGCTCTCTATTCTGTTCCAGTGATCCATGTGTCTATTGTTATGCCAGTACCAGACTGTTTTGATTACAGTGGCCTTGTAATATAATTTGATATCAGGTATTGTGATCCCTCCTACTTTGTTCTGCCTCTTCAAAATTGCTGAGGCTATTCATAGTCATTTATGGTTTCATATAAATTTTTGAAATATTTGTTCTATATCTGTGAAATATGTCACTGGTGTTTTGATACGGATTGTATTGAATCTATAAATTGCTTTGGGTAGAATGGACATTTTAATGATATTAATTCTTCCAGTCAATGAACATGGTATATGCTTCCAATTATTTGTGTCTTTCTTAATTTCTTTCTTCAGTGTTGTATAGTTTTCTGACTACTGATCTTTTACCTCCTTGGTTAAATTTATTCCTAGGTACTTTATTATTTTTATGTGTCGCTATAGTAAATGTTTTTTTTCTAGTTCCTATTTCTGATTATTTCATTGTTTATGTACAAAAATGCCTGTGATTTCTGAATATTGATTTTGTTTTCTCTTGTTGCTCAATTCATTTATTAGGATGAGTAGTTTTTTGGAGGAGCCTATGGATTTTCCTACATACACTATCGTCATCTGCAAACAATGACAGTTTTACTTACTCCTTTCCAATTTGGATGTTTTTATTTCTTTTTCTTGTCTGATTGCTGTGGCTAGATCTCCCAATACTATGTTGAATAGAAGTGGTTAAAGCAGACACCATTGTCTTGTTCCCCATCTTAGGGGTAAGGCTTATAGTTTTTGTCTGTTGAGTATGATGTTGGCTGTAGGTTTCTCATTTATGGTCTTCATTATGTTGAGGTATGCTCCCTCTATTACCACTTTGCTAAGTGTTTTTATCATAAGTGGGTGTTGTAGTTTATCAAATGCTTTTTAGGTATCTTTGATAGGATCATGTGATTTTTGTCTTTCCTTTTGTTTATGTGATGTAATACGTTTATTGATTTGTGAATATTGAACAATCCTTGCATTCCTATGATGAATCCCACTTGATCATGGTGGATATCTTTTTTATGTATTGCTGGATAAAGATTGCAAATATTTTGTTGAGGATTTTAGCATTTGTGTTCTTCAGTGTTATTGGCCTAGAATTTTCTTTTTTATATCTTTACCTGGTTTTGGAATTAGGGTAATACAGGCCTCATACAAAGAGTTTAGGAGTCTTCCCTCTTCTTGGATTTTGAGGAATAGTTTAAGCAGGATGGGAATTAGTTCTTCCACCGATGTTTGGGACATTTCACCTGTGGAGCGGTGTGGTCCAGGGCTTCTGTGTGCTGCGAAGTTTTTGATTACTGCTTCAATTTCACTAGATGTTCCTGGTCTATTCATGCTTTCTGCTTCTTCCTTATTCAGTTTTGGAAAATTATCTGTTTCCAGATTATTTGCCCATTTTGCCAAGGTTGTCAAATTTCTTGTCATATAGTTGTTCATAGTAATTTCCTTCAATCCTTTGTATTTCTGTGGTATCAGTTGTCACTTCTCCTCTTTCATCTCTAATTATACTTATTTGTGACCTCTTTTTTCCTTGATCAACCTGGTTAAAGATTTGTCAATTTTGTTTAATTTTCCAAAGAACCAGGACTTGGATTTATCGATCCTTTGAATTAATATTTTAGTCTCTATGTCATTTAATTCTGCTCTGATCTTAATTATTTCTTTCCTTCTACTCGCCCTTGGCTTTGTTTGCTGTTGTTTCTCTAGTTATTGTAGATGTAGGATTAGATTGTTTACTTGAAATATTTTTATCTTTCTTAGGTAGGCCTGTATTGTGATGAACTTCCATCTCAAGACTACCTTCTCTGTGTCCCACAAGGTTTAGGCTGTTGTGTGTTCATTTTCACTTGTTTCCAGAAACTTTTTGATTTCTTCCTTGATCTCATTATTAACCCATTCATTGTTTAATGGCATGGTAGTCAGTCTCCATGAGTTTGAGTGTTTTTGAGTTTTTTCCTTGAAGTTGGTTTCTAGTTTCAAGCCCTTTTGGTCTGAGAAAATGCTTGTTATGATTTCAATTTTCTTGAATTTGTTGAGGCATGTTCTGTGTCCTATCATGTAGTCTATATTTGAAAATGCTCCATATTGCATTTGAAAAAAAATGTATATTTTGTTTTTTGAGATGAAGGGTTCTGAATATATCAATTTAGTCCATTTGTTCTAGAGTGACATTCTGTTCCACAATATCCTTGTTGATATTTTGTTTGGAAGACTTATCCATTGTTGACAGGGGAGTGTTAAAATCCCCTACTATAAGAGTATTGTTGTCTGTATCTTTCTTGAAGTCCTCCAAGATTTTCCTTATATATTTGGGTCCTCCTGTGTTGGGTGCATATAAGTTTACAAGGGTATTATCTTCATGATGGGTGCTTTCCTTAATTATTATGAAGTGTCCTTCTGCATCTCTTTTTTTCCCCTTTGTTTTGAAATCTGTTTTGTCTAATATAAGTATTGCTTCCCCAGCTTTTTTTAACCTGCCCATTGCTTGCAATATTTTTCTCCATCCCTTCACTTTCAGTCTTTGTAGATCTTTTTTTCTAAAGTAAGTCTCTTATAGACAGCATATTTGCGGGTCATATTATCTTATCAACTCAGCTACCCTATTTCTTTTGATTGGATCATTTAATCCATTTACATTTAAGGTTATTGTTTGTAGGTGCTTATACATTGCCATTTTTTCTATACCTGTGTCTCTCTCTCATTTGCTTTCTTTCCCCTGCCTCCCTCTGTCTGTCTCTCTTTCTTCTTCATTTTATAGCAGTCCCTTTAGCACCTCTTGCAGTGTTGGCTTGGTGGAGACATACTCTTTTAGCCATCTTTTGTCTGGAAAGCTCGTTATTTCACCACCTATTTTAAATGAGAGTCTTGCTGGGCAGAGTACTCTTGGTTGTAGTTCATTGTTTGTCATTATCTGGAAATTTTCATGCCAATCCCTTCTGGCTTGTAGTGTTTCTGTTGAGAAATCCATTGATAGCCTTATTGGAGCTTCCTTGTGCATTACTTCCTGTTCTCCCTTCCTGACTTTAGGATTCTCTCTTTGTCTTTAACATTCGGCATTTTAATTATTGTGTGTCTTGGAGTAGGCCTATTTCGGTTCCTCTTTATTGGGATTCTCTGTGTTTCTTGTACTTGGGTGACTTTTCCTTCTTCACCAAGTTAGAGAAGTGTTTGTTGTTATTTTTTCTTTTTTTTTAAAAAGATTTTATTTATTTATTTTTAGAGAGAGGGGAAGAGGGGAGAAAGAGAGGGAGAGAAGCATCAATGTATGGTTACCTCTCACGCTACCCCTTCTGGGGTCCTGGCCCACAACCTAGGCATGTGCCATGACTGAGAATTGAACCTGTGACCCTTTGGTTCTCAGGCCAGCATTCAATCCACTGAACCACACCATCCAGGGCTATTTTTTCAAACAAGTTTTCTATGCCTTGTTCCTTTTCTTCTCCTTCTGATAATCCTATGATGTGAATGTTGTTACATTTCATGTTTTCCTGAACTGTCCTAATTCTTTTTGAATCTTTTTTCAATTTGTTACTCTGCCTGACTGGTCTTTCTACCTTGTCTTCCAGATTGCTGTTTTGGTCCTCTGCTTTATCCAGCCTGCTTTTAATTCCTTCTAGTGTGTTTTTCTAGGGTATTGTATTCTTCCTTTCTTCCTCATTCTTGTTCATAATTTCTATTTCCCTTTTCATGCTGCTGTAGTCCCCACTAGGTTCCTTGTAGTTGTCACTGAGTTCCTTGAGCATCCTTATAACCATTTTTTTGAATTCTGTGTCTAATAGATTGCTTACCTTGATTTCCTTTAGCTCTTTTCCTGAGTTATCTTCCATTCCTTTTTATCAGGGGTTCTTTCTTTGTCTTCCCATTTTAGGTAACTCTTTTTGTTTGTTTCTGCATCTCAAGATGCTCCGCTTGGCCTGCCTGACTTCCTGGGGTGGCCTTCTGTGGTAGGAATCCCGTGGGAATCAGTAGTGCGGTCTCACTGATCTCCTGATTTGGATGCTTTAAGGTTACCCTTTATTCAGTTCGTATGGACTCTTTTTTCCCTGGGCTTTGCTTACTGGTGGCTCATTTGTTGGTGGGGTCTCCCCACCAGCTGGCTGACTGGTTGACACAACTCAGGCCACAGCTTGTATGCTGTTGTACAGGTGTTGGTTAACAAAGCAATATTACCAGAAAACCAAACCCAGTCCAGCAGAAAAAGAAAAATCTTACCACAGCAGCAATATCAACCACAATTGAGCAAAGATTAACAAAGGTAGAGAGAGATTAAGAATATTGTAAGATAGGAAAAAGGGAATAGGAGATCACTAAAAGAGGGAAAAATGATTTTGAGTGTGTAGAGGGAAGAGAAATGGTAAGAGTAGGGAATAGAAATGGGGCAAGGACAGGGAGAGAATAAAACTTAAAATGTAAGTAAAACAGGGAAAAGAGATGGCAAAAATGGAGTAACAAAAGGGAAGAGTATATTATGAGTTTTGAAGTGAAATTAATAAGGTATTGAACCAATAGGAACAAAATTGCAGAAAAACCACAGCAGCCTCAATAACAACGACAGCTGAGTGAAGACTAGTAAAGGTAAAAAGGGAATAAGAATATTATACAAAAGAGAAAGGTGAACATGAGATGTCTACAGCAAAGAAAAATGATTCTGAGAGGATGGGAGAGGAAAATTAATAAGAGTAAAGAATAGAACTCTGGGTAAGATAGGGAAAAAATAAAATAAAATTCCTAACTCATCTGATCAAGGGCACGGGGAAGGCAAAATGGAGTAAGACAGCAGGAGAGTATCCTATGGGATTTGAAGTACAAACAAACAGTGAAGAAACAGGAATACTGTTGTATAAGAACAGCAATAACTGTGATGTCCTCACCCAACTAGCCACAGTTTATTAGGATGATAAAGAAATAGGGCTTTATAAGTGGGGGGCGGGGGAAGAATGTGACCTGACTTAAGGAAGGAAGAATTGTTTTGTGAGGATAGATGAGTTGACATAGTAAGTGGAGGTAACAGGAACACAGCGTAGCAAGGGAGAAAATAAAGTCTACAACAACAATAAGAAGGATCGGGAGAAGGCAAAATGGAGTAAGACCAGGGAAGGGTGTTATGTGGGATTTGAAATAACAATAACATGAAAAAACATATAATCTGAATAAAAAAGAATAAAAAATAAAAGACCAAGCGTAGCAAGTTAGTTGGAATACAATGGAAGCAAAAGGAGAAATACTAAAACGTGAAATGAAAAAAAGAAGAAGGAAAGGAAAAAACATGCAAGTTCTGAGGAACAGGGAGGTAAAATTCATCTCAGCTACTGGTGTTCACCTTCTGACTTCTTTCTGGATCAGTCTCTGTTTTTTTTTAAGCTCAAGGTCCCAGGATGGGTTGTCCAACTTCTGACAACACCCCTGTGTCTCCCTCACCTACCTTTTGAGGGAGCAACTGAGAGGGTGGGGCCTCTGCGTCTCCCCTGGTGGTAGCTCTGTGTGTGAGCCATGGGTGGGCAGATTCCTGAACCCCCCTCGCTGCACCACTTTCTGATGGATTGTCAGCTTTAGAGAAATAGGGCCCTGGGACCCATTGTACTTTGCCTCCCTGTGAGGAGTTCAAAATGGGCCCTTTCAGGCTTTCATCTTGCTGTCTTTCTCTTGCAGAAATGCCCTCTGCAAAGTTGTTAAGCCTTACCCAGCCAGTTTTGCAGATCTTCCCTGACTCCCGCCAGAGGTGGGGGCTGGGCGCAACCTTCCCTTTGAAGAGGTTCCACCAAGGAAGGGGGTCGAGCCTGGCCTCAAATAGTCTCGGGTGCACAGTTCCCCAACCACCGCCCTCATAGCGCACAGTGGCTCGCTTTCTGCACTCAGCGCATGTGCGCCAGGCTGGCGCCAAGAAACCATCTTGCTTTGCACCCCTGTGATCAATCCACCCAGCTCTACTGAGTGGGAGCCAATTGCGCCCACAGTCCTCCCTCCTTGTGGGCAGGGCAGGTGCGTGCGTGGGGTCGCTGCCCAGCATGCCTCAGCTCCCCTTTTAAGAAAGTCTCCAGCTGCTCCCACTGCAGCGCTGAGCCACAGTCTGACTTTCCGCACACTCTCCACCTCTCCCAAAGTTTGAGTCTATTGCAGGCACAGACAGCCGCGGCCCTCCTCCTCCACCAGATCCAGGGGGAAGCAGTATCTCTCTAACTCCCTGGCACTGTCCTTGTCATTGTCCACTGCCACGCCTATGGGTGTGCCGCTAGCTGTGTGTGCCAGCCTGGTTCTCCCCGAGGACTTTGCATAGCCAAGTTGCTCCTGGCCCGGGCCTGGGGGTTCCAGGCTCTGGGAGGGGAGGGAGCCACAGGCTCCTGTCTCTGACCAGGCTTCCCATGGGTCCAGGTGCCGTGGCTGCTGGCACGGAGGCTGCTGGTACCACGGCTGCTGGTGCCACGCCCAGAGACTTTCCCCATCCACCCAAAGAACCACATTTCCACCTGCTTTGAAGCACCGTCTGTATTATTTGGCTCCCAAACTTCATATCAGCTAAGATTCCATTGACTGTTCACTTTATGTTTTGGAAGATCAACTAAGTGTCTGCATTGGGTGCCAGAGCACATGGACTGGGCTCCCACATACTTGGCCTCCATCTTCAGAATCTAAATGACACTTTTCTTTGTGGTGATTCGTAATGGTTTGATTTTGATACATTAATGGGTGAGAGAAAAGAGGATGTTGGTATTCTGTATCTCAATACCATTGACGTAGAAGAGAAATAATTCTGAATAATGGCACGAATTGCTATTCTGAAGTATGGTTGGATTTTGAATAACACAGGTTAGAATTGCACAGGTCCACTGATACAGGGATTTTTTTTTCAATACTGTAAATCTATTTTCTCTTCATTATAGTCTCCTTAACAGTTTCTTTTTTAGCTTACCTTATTGTAAGAATACAGTATATATAAATCATGTAACATAAAATATGTGTTAATTGACTGGTTATGTTATTAATTAGGCTTCTGCAAACAGTAGGCTATTGGTAATTAAATTTTGGGGGAATCAAGAGTTACACATAGAGTTTGACTGTGCAGGGGGGTTAGCGCCCCTAAGCTGACATTTTCAAGGGTCAGTTATATTGCCAGGAAACCTCTAGGGAAGGAAGAGGTTTTTTAATCCTGCATACTCCCTTTATTTTTGATGAGTATGACATGTTTTTGGAACTGCTAAAGTCCAAGAGTCGTGCAAAAATGGTACCAGACAATCTATTTGGCTGCGCCAGTTATTTTTAGTACCAGGTGCTGGTCTAACCCGTGGCCGGGCTCCTCCGTCTGCTCTAGTCCAGCTTCCACTGAGGCCTCCACTGCGTGACGGGCCTGCTGCTTCCAGCCTTGGAGCAAGAGCTGATGGAGAGCAGCTGTCATGAAGCCCTTCCTCACCTGTTTTTCTAGTTTCAGAATTCTTAGCCTGCATTTTTTTTTTTTTTTTTTTTTTGGTATGGCTGATTCGTGGGCAGTGAGTTCTATAAGGAGCTTTGATGGTGTTGCTGAGGGCCTCAGATGTCATATATCAAGGCTGAAGTTTTCCCCTTCAGGAGAGAGTGAAAAATTACTGCTAAATGTATGTCTCTGCCCTTTGAAGAGAGCAGCATCACAGATTTGTCAACAAATGAATCTGGAGAGGATAGCAACTTGGTTCAAAGTGTGCATCTCTGAACTTGGCCAAGTTCCTTAAACCTTAGTCTCTTTATCTCTTAAATATGTATAATATTCACCCTACTGAGTTGCTTTAGGGATTAACTAAAGTGTTATATGCAGGCTGCTTATCATGCTGTCTAGCCGAATTATAGATACTCTTTGTTACGTATTATATATGAAGGGTTCGTTATTTAAGACTTGGTAATCTCTAGGGTTCTTTAAGTAAGGAACAACAAATACAATGAGTAAAATTGGACCAATGCTAAGAATGCAGTCTTATTCTTTTCTGTTTCATTTCAGATGTACTGGAGAAGAATTCTTGGTAAACCAGGGCATCGACCTCTCATCTTGGGGCCTGTGGAAGAATCACGTAGTCTTGGCATGCATGATTGTTATCTTCCTTACAATTGCTTACCTGAAATTGTTATTTCTTAAAAAATTTACATGAATTTCTAATTTATGTGATTAATCTATTCACTAGAAAGGAGCATCTTGATTTATGTATTCATGAAGTTTTTCTGTTGTCTTTTCATTTGCCATTATATTATTGTTTAGCTCAAAGTATATCCAACAGAAATCAAAGTGAATTGAATTGTACATGAAAAAACCCAAGTTATTACCTAGTGATATTATGTACCACTTGTTAGTTCAAGTAGCCAGACAGTAACCTTGGGGGAGAAATTTAATTTAATTAATTGACCTAAAAAAATTGAATCCTAAACCTCGTGACAAGTCAATAATATCTACTAGCACTTTCCTCATCTCTAAACTGAATAGGTGTGCTACTGCCCTCCAGTTTTAATATGATATGAATCTAGATCTGCCATCACTTAATAAATAACAAATGTATTGATTCTATAGTGGAAGTATGAAATCTAAATTATGCTGGAAAACTCCGGTGTCATTTATAGGGTAAAAGAACCATTATGATGGACAAAGCTCTGATAAGACTTGTAGGGTTAGTAAAACTTACTGAGGGTTCTCTGTAGTGGAGTCAGAATACCTCCGGGGTCTTGGCCGGTCCTCTGGGCTGCAGCTGCAGGGAGCCAGGACCTGGTGACTTACCCTTCCTGGGGTTGTTCAGCGTTTATGTGCATGAGATCACCTGGGATTTTTGCTCAAATACAGATGTCTGTGCCCTGCAAGCCCTGACGCATCAGCATCTCCAGGGCTTCCAGAAAGAGCTGTCCGTGCCAGGGTTTGGTAATTTCCAAGATCCTTCCCAGCTCTGAAAATTCTAGACTTATGATGTTATAACTGTTATAGCTGATCCTATCTGGGTTTTTTTTCTTCTTCCCTCATACACATCTCATTTATTCACACATTTTCTCATTCTAACCTTTCCTAGTAATAAGGAAGCCTTTTTTAACTTCTTTTTTACTGAAGGGTAATATAGGGAAAAGTTCAGTTCAGTGAACTGTCATGAAAGGAACACCCTGTGCATCCAGCAATCCCGGTCACGAAGTAGGCACTAGAGCGCAGGGAAGCCCTGCTCGTGCCTCTGTCCCAACCACCACTTCCCGACTTCTCTCTGGGATATTTTATCTCGGACACTCCCCTCTGTTGTTACTATCAGGACATCACTGCCACTCAGTTTTGTGTCCTTGTGTTCATAGGTGTATCCTTAATGAAGTTCCCCCTTCCCCTTGTAATACATTCTTAATTTTAGAATATATTTAGAATTACAGATAAGTTACACAGGGAGTGTGGAAATTTCCCATATACTCTTTGCCAAGTTTCTCTTAATGTTGGCATTTTATATACCATAGTACCTGTCAAAACTAAGAAATTAATACTGGTACATTATTGTTAATTAAATTACTCACTTTACTCAGATTTTACCATTTTTCTACTAATATTCTTTTATTGTTCTAGGATCCAGTTCAGGAGATTACATTGTATTTAATCCCTGTTTTTAAAAGTAAACACTTTTAAGAATTACAGGAATTGAGTGAGCTGAGGATGACGAGTGAAGACCCCAAAGACTGGTCATGTTAGAGTATAATTTAGCATCAACATCTATCTGCTATCAATCAAGTGTCACAAAAATATATATAATTTTTAAAAATTTTATTTGATTTGAGAGGGAGGGAGAGATCGATTTGTTGTTCCACTTACTTCCTCATTCATTGGTTGTCTCTTGTATGTCCCCTGACCAGAGATCGAACCCACAACTATGGCATATTGGGACAACGCTCCAACCAGCTAAGCAACATGGCCAGGAACATAGCATTATATTTTTATCTTTGGACTTTAAGGAGCCTTTTTTAATTTTTTAATGACATTTAATTTATGCATCATGTTGTAACATTAACATACTCTCTCTTTACCTGATTAGTATATCAACATCTGGGTTAATAATTTTTTCAGTTCATCTTAGTTCTTTCTTTTTACATAACCCAGTTTTATCCATGGTTCTCTGTATACACTGTTCCTAACACAGGAAGAAATATATTACAGAGAGAGAGAAAGAGAATATATATCTATACCTCATACACAGAACATATTTAAGAAACAAAATTGACAAAAATATTAATAGTACCCTACTTTTAATATTAGTGAGAACTTACATACATCCTATTTATTCTTCCTTTGTATTGCAATTATCTTTTATATAATTCTGTTTTTAATTATTGTATTAAGAAACACCTACAAAAATTTTCTATCTTAACCATTTTTAGGTTAAGGAACATTTTCAACTGTACAAGTAAAAGCCTAAATTCTATAATGTAGAAAGGAAAATACTTGTTTATAGAAATTTACTTCATGATATGTTTATTTTCTTCTGAATTTTGTTTCTCTTGGATGTCAGAAGAACCAATCTCTAGTGGAGAGGATAAATTAATCACTTTGGTTATAATGATAAAAATCCACCTCAGGAATGAATGAATGTTTGCTACTATTTGTACTCTTGCTGCTGCTCTTGGGGGCTTTCAAAGAATTCAGGAAGTTGGGCCATTGGAGGTTCCTTGGATTTTGAATGAGGCAGTATGAAAGGGAAGGAGAACTAGGGAGGTTGAAGAGAGGGTTGCTGAAGAGTGAGTGGACATGCTCATCTGTTTTTCTATCTTTAAAGCCATTGTCATGGTCTTCAGGTTTGAATTTAAACTCTCAATACCATCTATGCATATTTGCAAAGTAGCAGTACTCCTACAGAATCATTCTTGCACCTGGAAACCCCATAGAACAGCATATCTGGGGCTCTAAAGCAGGTGGCAAAGCACTGCTAAACTATATGTCTCCAAGTGAGACAAGGGATGTGGCCTCTCAGTTTGTCTTCCTTTGTTTGCAAAACTGCAGAACCTGAGGCCCCATCTCAGTAATCAAGGGCTTGGGGGATTCCAGTCAAGATGGCAGCATAGGTAATGCTGCACTCAGAACCTTCCATGACCACATCAAAATTACAACTGAAGTACAAAACAACCAATATTCAAAACCACCTTAAATATAGCTGATCAGAAGTCCTATAACTAAGGATATAAAGAAGAAGCCACATTGAAACTGGTAGGAAGGTCAGAGACATGAAACGAGTTGGTCCCATACCCACATGTGGCAGATTAAAAAATGGGAGGGATTTCTTGGCTGTGGGGGTCTCTCCTGGTGAATCAGGTTCCCAGCCCCACACCAGACCCTCAGCCCAGGGAGCAGTGCTACGAAGATTTGTTCCCATAACTTCTGGGTATAAAAATCAGTAGAGATTGTGGCTGAGTGAGACAAAGGGCTTTTGCAGTCCCAGGCCATTTCTTTTAAAGGGCCTACACAGACTTGGACTCACTGCCTCTGAGCTCCAGTCTTGGGGGAGCAGCTTAAAAGGCACCAGGGATATATAGGGAAAAATGGGATTGTCTGGCATCAAGAGGAGAGTTGGAAGGGCAGCTTTCTTCCAGACAAAACTGCTGGCAGAATCCATTGTTCCTTTTCTGAGCCCTTCCCCGACAGAATCAACAGGTGGGCACCATATCTAAGACTATGAACCTGGCTAACACTGATTGCCCAGCCATGGCGATTCCCCAGGTCCCTGCCCTACCCAATTTGTGGGGCACCCACCCTTCCCAGTGGCTTTTTATTACTAACAGCCTGTCTTGGCATATGCTTCAAACTTTCCTAAAATCTCTCAAGCAAGCAGCATCCAGCCTCAGCATGTCCCCTACTACTTGTTAAGTGGCCCCAGGCCCAGCACCAGCCAACCTTGGTTTGCAGCTTTGTCTCTACTGGGCACCTCTAAGCCCAGCACAAGTAGCAGTCATTAGAAGATTGATTTGTAGCTAATGTTGGGTGGTCCCAGGCATGATACAGGTGATAACTGATCTTGGACTACCCCTCCCAGGAGGCCCCAAACCCAGTACACCCAGAGGACAGCTTCAGACCAGGCTGAAGCACCACCCAACCACCTACACAAGTAACATACTCAAGGGGCAGTATAGTCAAAATATTGTAATAACTATACGGTATCGGATGGGTACTAGATTTATTGGTGTGTATACCTGAAACTAATGTAATATTGTTTGTCAACTGTAATTTAAAAATAAAAAATACAAAAATATTATCAAGGGCTTGGCAGTATGTTGTTTGGAAATCCTCAAGCTCTTCCATCTTTTTTATTTTACAGATGAAGTACATAAGCCCCACTTAAGTAAATTCTACTCTGTAGGGTGGGGCTCTGCACAGCAGATTCTCCAGGGTGGTTGCAGCCAGTCCTTGAAGTTGGTTGGCCTGGGGGTAAATTCTTACCATTAAAGGGCCAATATCAATCAAGGTTCAAGTACAATAGGGAAGGTGCACACAGCCCACACAGGGAGTTGCATCTAGACTGCTCGGGTCAGGTAACTGAAGGCCATGCCATTGGTCCCTACAGGACACCTGCCTACATAAGGCCACTTTACCAATCCTGAAAGATTTAACAGCTATATCTAATACATGGAAGAAACAAACACAGGGAGGCAGTCAAAATGAGGAGACAAAGAAATATATCCCAAATGAAAGAACAAAACTCCAGAAAAAGAACTAAACAAAATGGAGATAAGTAATTTACTAGATTCAGAGTTCAAAACACTGGTTATAAGGATGCTCAATGAACTTAGAAGAAAAGTATAGGAACTTAGTGAGAACTTCAACAAAGAGATGGAAAACATAAAAATGAAGATGGAGAACACAAAAGAGAACCAGTCACAGATGGTGAATACATTAACTGAAATGAGGAATACATTATAGGGAATCATTAGTAGAATAGATAAAACAGAGGATCAAATCAGGAATTTGTAAGATATTGAAGCAGAAAACACCCAATCAGAATAGAAAAAAAAATTCAAATAATGAGCCTCTGGGACAGCTTTAAGTGTGCCAACATTTGTATCATGAGGGTACTGGAAGGAGAAGAGAGAGAGCAAGAAATTAAAAACCTATATGAAAAAATAATGATGGAAAACTTCCTAACTTGGTGAAGGATATAGACATACAAGTCCAGGAAGCATAAAGAGTCCCAAACAAGATGAACCCAAAGATGCCCACACCAAGACACATAATTAAAATGCAAAAGGTTAAAGACAAAGAGAGACTCTTAAAAGCAGCAAGAGAAATGCAGTTAGCTACCTGCAAGGGAGTTTCCATAATACTCAGCTGATTTCTCAATGGAAATATTGCAGGCCAGAAGGATTGGCAAGAAATATTCAGATTGATGAAAAGCGAGGAGCTACAACCAAGATTACTCTACCAAGCTTAGCTATCATTTAGAATTGAAGGACAGTTAAAGAGCTTTCCAGACAAGATAAAGCTAAAGAAACTAATCACCACCATACCAGTATTATAAAAAATTTTAAAGAGCCTTCTTCAAGGAGAAAAAGATAAAAAAAATTAGTAATAAAATGGCA